AGAGCCTCTTATTGGCCGCAGCCTTATCGATAACGTAGGACCCATTTCAACGGGTTAAGGGATACGCGCATATGAAAACAACAACAATCACGCTGCCCTCAAAAAACCGATTTTCACACATCTAGGAGGGAAGGACGCACAATTCATTGCAGCGAAGCAAGGCCGTGGTGATAAAGCCGTGAGGCTGAAGTCTTCAGGCTGCTCAGACTTTATGCACCTAGGCGTAGGGTTGACACGTGATTCTAGCTAAGGAAAGGGATCTGCCAATTAACTAACCACGATAACTGCAAAAGAAAAGTGCAATTGGCAAGGTAGTGGGGGAGTGCTTAATAAGTAAAGAGTAGTGTTAATTCGTAGAGGTAACGACGCCAAGTTATCTCTCTTTGCTCCTCATCTTTGCATAGCGCCCGGAGATCCTTAATGAGCACGCATACTCCGCATACATAACGCCGTATATGACAGGCTTGTTCAAAAGCTCCAGGTCATCTTCGGCGTTGCCCGCTTCGACTTGGACTTCGCGGATTGTGCGGAGGAAGTGCTTGAGCCGGTGCTGGACGAGTGGAGGACCGGGTGGGAACGGAGCGCGCACAAGCTGGACTGAGCAGTGTTAGATCGCGGAGAGGCAGCCAAACCTGGTCGCTAGGTCGGCTGATAGTCCTCGTTGGCTTTGGCGTCGTCGCGTTTTCTTCCCTGCAGCATCCGAAGTCGGTTTCCCCCAAATTTGCCTTGTCAAATACCTTGTCCAATGCTGAACTGGCATTCATCTGACCGTTTGAAGTGGAGTCTGTCTTGGTCTATCTTTGAGACGACCCAGGATCCATTACCATAGTAGTAACGGTCGGCGAAAGGCTTTGTATCGCACAAGGATTTCAATGACTATAACAAATTGGTCTTCCAAAATCTAGTTTCAAACTCCTTCCTGCAGCGGCGGTCTCTGCAACTGATACTGCTCCAATCTACCTCAATAGTGGCACGAACAGAGGGATCATTGAGGTAGTGGGGAAAGGCGAGTTGAAGGTGCTTATTAAGCGATTCATAATGTCGAGATGTAGGACGGAAGGCGACCTCGTGATGCTTCTCGGAACGTATGGTTGCACTCTTCCAAGTCTGCGCATCCTTCCTGAGCTGTGGCACGGCCTTCTTTTTGATCTTGTTCCTTGGCTGGCGGCTCAGCTGCTGTCTTGGAGGGGGCTGTATAGCAAGTATGATTTGCATAGAGGGCATCCTTGAGAGGACTGGACCTTGCCCTTTCAGCCAACAAAGGTCTTTAGGGCGTTCAATATCGATCTTCCAGGAGCGATGACCCGAGTAAAGCCTTTCACTAACATGATTAAACATGGTCGTGCAGCTAAGAAGAAGGCCGGAGAAGTCTGGCTTTGTAAAGTCTCCCTTTTTGTCTCCTCAAGGCAAGACCAAAGCTCGGTGTGGATCGATAAGTAGATCGATAAACATGTGTACAATGTCGACCGGAAGCCTGTCTAACACAAGGTTAGCATAATGCATAACGGTCCGCTAGGCAAAGGTTAATATATACGCACGTCAGGATTCCTTTCTTGTTGCCAACCATTCTGCTGATATCAGAAGGCGACTGTGGGTAACTGAGGCATGGTCAGCACCGTCATCGAAGGAGCAGATACACATTTACTGACACTGAGCCAAACGGAACAGCCATGTCACTGGGTTGGCCCGGACGTAAACGTCGTCGAAAGTGGCGAGATCTTATCGTGAATGTCGAAAGGTGTGGAACAGTGTTGGAAGGTTAGGGTGGATTACTTCATCGGGTCACGTGCTATTGAAGTAGCCTGCGTGGCTACCTGAATACGCAGCCCTGACCTGCCCTCAAACTACCTTAGCCTTTCTAGGTCGCACATCTCCATTCCTGAGCAGGCCACGCACACGCGATATGGCGGACTCCGATGGCAAGCGCAACGGCCATACTCAGGTTGAAATTGATGTGAACTCTGATTTCTATAGACGTCTAGCTAGTTGTATATATACTAGGGGAAGGAAGGGGGCCACCCCCAGGGTGGCGCGCTAGTAAGTTCAGATGAGCCCTGCACAGCTGAGGCTTCAGCTCGGTTCTCTACAGCTGAGATTTCAGCTGGGTTCTCTACAGCTGATGTTCGGAGAGTAGCTTTCTGGCATATGAGTTGTTGATCCTAGGTTGTAGTGCTGCAACCTGAGTGCCATACTCCGAAGCAACGGAACCACTTTCGACGACGCCAAAGTGGATATTCAGATACTCGAGGTATCCTCAGTGGCTTATTCGCTTTAGGATGTTCCCGAATCGCGGCTTGAGCATCCTCGAGTTACTCTTTGTTCTCTGGAGAAGTAGCGTTATACTAAATGTCGAGGTGTACATTCTGGGCGTGCTCGAGCCGCTCCATATTTGTGCGTGGGCGCCATCCATTTGCGTGACGCGGTCCAGACTTTCGCGCCATGTCGCTGCCTACGTAGGTATTGAAGGGGGAATGAGGATCCTTCTTACCGTATTCTATTTACCCTTGCCGAGCGATTTATCGAGATTTGGGAATTCTGTAGGCCTTGGGACAGTCGCGGCGATCTGCGCCTGCTCGTTTGCGTGAAACCTGATCGCGACTTTGGCACACCTTATCGTTCGCATAGCTGCCGTCGTAGGTGAGATTCTTTTTTTGTTGATATTTGTTCTTCAGCGTCCCGGTTAGGGTCTCGTAGTCCCTTTCGAGCGCGACGAAGTAGTTGGCCGGCGCGTTGACGCATATAGTGCCGAGCAGTGTCTCAGCAGCAGTAGTATTACCCCGTACGGGTTTAACTCGGGTGTCCCACGTTAGAGTCGCTTGGTACGATCGCATTAGTATGTTTGGGTGGAAGCTGATTTTGCACTACTGGTGCGTTTTTGGTAGCCCTCCCGAGGACGCCGAAAGAGACACTAAAGGTGGTCCGATCAATTAGTTTCTACTTCGCCAGCAGGTACCGTAGGCCATTTTTAGAACGAATGCAAATTGAACTGGACACGACAGAGGATTCTTGCCACATGGTAATTTGCCTACAAACCGGCGAGAAGACCTGCAGGCTATAGATGGATGACGCCATGAACACTTTTCAAATCTGACAATGAATAAAATACTTAGGAAACCAAATCCCCACTTAGAAGCAGGTGAGAGTGGTGCAAAACTCCTAAACCTTCTGTGACTATTTCACAATGACTCCAAAAATAATAGAACACCTCGTAGTGATTTGATTGCCCACAAACCTACCCTTAGGTACCCCGATTACTCAGGTCGGTCGTCGAGAATGCAACTTGCTATTCGGCTAAAGTTAATGAGTAGACATCCCTATCACAGATGCGTTCTATCCAGCGGAAATCTATTAGTTTTGGGACGCTTTGAAGGACGAACGAAAGGCCGTTTGAGAGAGTAGGAACGCAACGACGGCTGAGTTATGGGAGTCGGGAGCATCATACAAGAACACACAACAAGTACGGTGGGATTAGTCGAATAGCATAATAATGGTAGCAAAGCTGCTGCAGCGTGAAGGTAGATCGGAGAGGGATTTGGGAGGGTTTGCTGTTGCTGGAGTTTTTAACTTGATATTCAATGGCTGTATAGCCTGAGGGTGTGTCTGAAATCACGGTCGTGATACAATCTCATGGTGGTGAATTTGATGCTCCTTTTAGAAAGGCGTCGGCCCGGGTGATGTAGAAATCTTTCCCGCAAAGTTCTCTGCCCCCTGGTAAAGCTCCTCTGGACTGAAATTAGGCATGAAAGTTCCACAGAGAACACCACTGACTGCTCTAGGTGTCAGGTCGGCGTATGCATTCTAACCTATTCCCTGGCATGGGATGAAGGCACGGGCAACTCGTTGGACCACCACTTCGAAGGCGCAGCATCACAACGAATCTTGCACAAGGGCTGTTGACAGGTTAAACCTAGTTGCCTTTCCTTCTACAGGCCATGCTGCAGCCATACCAGTTCTCTGGCATACCCACAACCACCTTTGTCTGCGCACGAGGATGATGTGATAGATGGATGGAGGATCGTCGGGTCGCAATGGCAGGAAGGGTAGCGTGAGCCGCAGTACATCGTCGTCGCTGTGATCCGAGGGATGTGTGATTGAGAACCCCTGTGGAGGACTGAGCGAAAGATGGAGGGCCGCATCGTCGCAGAGGGTCGGTCTCGCGGAGAGTTGGTCTCACGGGCTTGGTCTCGCGGAGAAGCTGCGTCTGCGGCTCGAACTCCTTCTCCGTTGGCGACTTGTACTCGAGGTGCTCTGGCAAGTAGTGACAATATGGCCGTAGGCTTGGATTAATCTTGCAACCGCATCGTCGACGTGTATACCGATATTATCCAGGATAATAACTTTTAAGCGCCCTTCAAACTCCCCCTCAATGGCCGACAAGGTGTTAAAAATCTAATTAAGTCGGGATCGAGCGGCGCCCGCGAGGAGGATCTGGCGGCAAACGGTGTCGTGACTATCCACTGCAACACAGAAATCATCAGTATACAGCCCTGGAGCATCACAGTACAGCGATCAGGTCCAAACCGATCATATCCAAACCGATCACATGCCCAGAAGAATCGCCCGTCCAGAACGATCGCCCGACTAAAACGATCGTCCTACTAAAACGATCGCCCGACTAAAACGATCGTCCTACTAAATCGATCGTCCGACTAGATCGATCGCCCGACTAGATCGATCGCCCGACCAGATCGATCGCCCGACCAGATCGATCGCCCGACCAGATCGATCGCCCGACCAGATCGATCGCCCGACCAGATCGATCGCCCGACCAGATCGATCGCCCCACCAATCGATCGCCCCACCAAATCCAGCGCCTTATGTTTTCATCCATAACAAATGGGTGGCGCTATACGGGATGCCGATAGAATGCCGTTTGTAATGCTGTATACGATGCTGTATATAATGCTGTATATGATGCGGTATATATATTTAGTTTGATCCGGCTACCCCGCACGGCCACGAAAATCAACGAATCTTAATGTTGTCACTTCTACAATACAACGCAGCCGTAAGGCCTAGTCATACAATTTCTTGGTGTTTTGATCGCTATATGCTAATATTTCGTTTGCCAGCCCTTGGCCACCCGTAGGGCCTCTATACGATCTGGCATACTCTGTACAAGCGATAAAATCAGTAAATCAGGCAGCTTCAACCATGCCTCCTTGATTGCCTCCTGTAAAGCTGTCCAATCAGCCTCTGCCTTGCCTATTGTAGCCAGCTCTGGATGCAGCTTATGAACCATCTTCTTCAGCGCCCACTACATATATTTAATAGGGTTGAGGTCTGGTAAATAGGGGGGCCATTCCATAGTCCAAATACCATGGGTTTCCAGGAACTCCTTGGTCCATTTGGAGTTGTGTATAGGCGCATTATCGTGCATGAATATCTCCCCTGGCTGGTATTGTTCTAAGAGGCCATCCTCCAATGTCTTAGTGTAGCTTCTGCCCGAGTAGCCCATCTTCTTGGCCTCCCAATCACGCTCCATGATAATCAATGGCGACCGGCCAGCATGGCCCTCTGGGTTGATCTAAATAGCTGCCCACACCATCTGTGACATCTTGTTGGACTTGTCTTTCTCTGTAATCATATCTGGGTAATATTTCTCATTAGAATAGCGGAAGCACCACTCTGCCTGCTGCCCGGAACCCCTCTGCACGGAGCACTTATCTGTGAACTTAACAGTTGTCCCCTCCCAGTTAAAATTCTTGTAGTCCTGAGCGAATTTGCGGCGTATAACAACATGCTCAGGCTTTAATTTTGGCCTCTTGGCGCACCTGCGCTTGTGTAGGCCATTCACTCTAAGGTGGCGCTAGATAGTCTTCTTAGAAATGGGGTGCTTCCGATTCGGGCGTCCATCCAGGCCGGCCCCCTTAATAATCTGGGAGTACTCCAGTTTTAGGGATTTTCGCACAATTCGAATGATATCGCGCTTCTTACGACGTGTAAGAACCTCTGGCTGGCCAGAGCAAGGTAAGGACTTAGTGGTGTTGTGTTCTTTAAAGCGTTTGATTGTGGTGTAGATGGTGCGTAGATTGCAGCCGAATTCTGCTGCTAATTCCTTGTTGGATACACAGGCCTGGTGCTTTGCAATAATAGCTGTGCGCTGCCCAGTTAAAAGCTCGCCATTCCCTCTTGCATTCCCATCAATCGGATCGCCAAAAGAGCGTGTCATTGTGGTGTGGTGTTGAGGTAAATGCGACGCGTTCATACGCGACGCGATTTTAGTGGGGTTGCGCACGGTTCGTCGGATTAGACTAAAGTCTAAGTACTGTACCTACGTGCCTAGGAGGATGATAAAACTATAAAAGCTTCACCTTATAGAGGCTTCTTTCCATTAGGCCTGGCCCGCCTGCATTGCTACCTGCATTGCCGCCTTCTAAGAGGTGCTCGAGGGGAAGCTCCGAGGAGATAAGACGAGAAGGGGGGTTGTATATCTACTAAGAAGGTGCAGCTACTACTGCCCATGTGTTCACACACCTTTAAAGTATAGTCGCATATCATCTCTAAAAGTGAAGAAATTTGTTTAAAAATCTTAACCCCTACAACTCCGCGAATTAAAGAAAATTGAAACTTTCCGAGGTGGTGTGCGACTGTATATCAGAGGTGTGCGAATATGTTAAACCTTATTGTAACCATTACAGCTCCAAAAAAAACCCCTATTTTAGAAACATCAGCCAGGGAATTTACCATGAGAAAATCTAGGACTACTACCCCCGATTACGATCTTCCCAACGCTCCTCCCCGAAACTCTACGCAATCTTCAACATCTCAAACTGCGCAATGCTGCTCTTCGCGAAATTGCCGCCTTCAAGCTCCGCCGCGCGCAACTTCTCCCGCTCCGTCTCTTTGACAGCCTCGCTAACCTTCGCCTCCCAACTCTTGTCCATAATATTGCGCTGCTTCTCAACCGTCTCGTTCGCCTTCTTGAGTCGGTCCTTGGCCTTCGCGATCTCCTTGTCGATGTCAATTCGGCCCTTGACATCGAGGTACACAGTTGCTAACGTGCCGACGGTGTAGACGGCGGAGCCGGTGGGCGAGGGGTCGGAGGGGGCGAGGAAAGTAAGCGAGCTGATGGCCTTGCTGCTGAGGGAGAGGATCGAGGAGCGGGAGGTCGGGGCTTGGAGGGTGGCGTGGGTGGTGTCGTCTAGCGGGTGGATGAAGGTTTGCGCCGAGTCTTTAATGGCGTACTCGGCCGTAAGAGAGCGGGAGCCCTTTGAGACATTGACGAGCAACTTATACTCCTTCTCGGCCCTTTAATCGTGGAAGGCCTCAAGGGTGGCGAATTCCGGGAAGTTGGCGACGGTGATGGACGGGGTCTTGTCGTCTTAACGGCGAGGAATGCACTGGAAGAGCTCCTCGGTTAAGAAGGGCATAAAAGGGTGGAGTAAGAGGAGACCATCTTCGAGTGCAGTATAGAGAGTTTGTTTTGTGCCCTCCTTCTGTTCGGCGCTGCCGTCTTCCAGGATTGCTTTCGAGTTCTCAATGAAGACATCGCAGAGGTTGCCAAGGCGCAGCTTATCCTTAAGTTCCGAAGGCTGATACCCGTCATGATATTGATGGGATCAACAACGTTGCCGAGAGACTTGCTTATCTTGCGGCCTTTAGTATCACGGATCAAGGAGTGACAGTACACTTCCTTAAACGGGATCTTGCCTGTCAACTTCAAGCTGAGAAGGATCATCCGGGCAACCCAGAAGGGCAAGATATTCCAGCCAGTTTCTAGGACGGAGGTAGGGAAAAGTCCTTTCAAATCAGCCGTTTCCTTTGGCCACCCGAGAGTACTGAAAGGCCACAGACCCGAGCTGAACCAAGTGTTAAGAACGTCCTTATCCCGCTCTAGGGTGAATTTTTTCCCTTTAAACTTATCTTCAGCCTTCTTTAAAGTACGTCCGGTAACCTAAAGTTTGTTGTCGGAAGAATTGTTGTCCCCGCCCTCGATCTTGACAAAGTAAGCTCGCTATTACTTCACCCTTTGCAACCTTGGCCCTGATACATAGGCGAAGCTCCTAATAATCTCCTCTACGACCCTTCGACAGGCCGTATTACAGCGCTCCTCGACTACGACTTCGCCAGCATCCTACACCCTGCATACGAGTTCTTCCGCTCCTTTGCCATCAATGGCGGCCAGTTGACCGGCTCGTTGGGGGACACGACTCCACAGGAAAAGGAAGCGGCAGCGCTTCGGAATGCCAAACTTACCGGCCAGTTCCCTTCACCTCTTCCAGCTCCGGTAGCGTCCGCCAATGGATCAGGGGTTGACTGGGAACTTGCGCAGGCATAGGAGGACGAGCTGCAGAACCTGGATGTCAAGCGACCTAGCAAGATTCGAGGAATTGATAAGATTGCAGATCTCGACGAGGTCCTCGGCTCACTGCTACCCTGGAGATTGACGAATGAGGACTTTTTGAGAATGAATCAGGATGATATCAGAGAAGGGCGCTGAGACGCATGAGCGAAAAGCAGCTTGTGGGCTTACTGGATCATATGGGATTTTAGACTGGACCGATTCAATAGGGGAACAAAGTTGATGCGAGAAAACTTACAAAAGGAAGGACATGTGTGTCCCGCACCATCGTACCCCTGAAGATAGCCCGTATGCCTCAGAAGTAATGCGCATGCTAGCAGTGCTGCAGCACGCTAAAGTAACCTGTGTTGGTTAGGCAAAATACTAGGCAAATGATATTTGTACCCCCCCCTTTCGCCACTTTCGCTCTTATAAACTCCCGCTCTCACATACAAGCTGTCTCCAGGAAGGGGATGGCATGTCCTCCTCCTGCCGCGACCAACTTGCCGCCCCAGTGATCAAAGACTGTTCCACCTTCGGGAGAAGCGACTACTTTTGTCGCTCTGTGGACAACGTTTTGCAGGAGTGGGGTTGCTTTGACTTGGAATTCGGAGCCTGCTGCTGCAACGACGACGTTTAGATATGCTACGGCAGTCTTCCGAAGCCAGGGGAGATGAGAGGCTATCCAAGGTTCGGATCCAACTTGTCCGGTTTCTGCACCTTCCCAGCTGACAAACATGATGGTTTGCCGAGGCCGCCATCCTGCTCTGTATGCCGTTGCGAAACTTCGGACGACTTCTATTAAAGCTGCAGCGCCCCTGATAGAGTCACTGGCCCCGGGTCTCCTTGAGTCGCGGTGATTCCCTAGAATGATTACTTTATCATCAATGGAACCTCTAATGATGCCAAATGTTTGGTGCACGTCCTTGGTCGGAAAGGTCGTTTGGTTATTCAAATTCAAGACGATATGCGACGGTGATGGACCGATATAATATTCTACTCATTTGTAGTACAGGCCTCCCCCATGCCGCTACATTGGGTCCAGTCAGGGCAAAAGAGGATGGACAACCGGGTGACGACAAGCACGCACATCCTCACTGCGCGTTCCATCGACTTAAGGTCTACCTATACTAGGGGCCCCACCACGAGCGCCCCAAGTCAAAGCCTTTGATACCCCCGAACTCCAACACTGGAAGGACGTGAAAGTCGGGAGAGTGAGGAGATTTCGAGGTGAAAAGAGTCAATACTGGCCCTCCTATTACCCCGACAGCTGCTCCTGCTCACAAACGACAACGCGCCTCCATGCTTGCAGAGCTGTCAAGGCTCAAACCCCCAATCTATTGCCATAACACGCCTGGAGCTGCTAAGGAAGCGAGTAGGCAGTGCTTTCACACGTGGCAACATATCAGGAGGTAAGTGTGGTGTGAGAGGTCGGCCTACTAAAAGTGGGTAGTACTCCTCCGGTCCATCTGTATTCCTGCAATGGAGCAATATGTTGATGACCTTGCTGGCAACTTGGACTATCTCGCAGCCAGCTTTCCGAACATGGATCCTGGATCCACTGGAATTTTTATGGCACCTTATTCGCCGCATCGCAAAGTGGAACGGTAGCCGTAGAGGACCAATTAGATGGAGAGTTTTCCGGCTAAACTCAGTTGACTCAACACTGCGCTTAAAGACATCGCCGATGTAGCTGTCACTTCCGGGGCGTAGACGACGTCGCCAGTGCCCATTGCTTGGTCGAGATTGGGCTAGGAGAAGCCGATTCCTGGATGCGGAAGCCTCCGCCAGCGCCGTTCGCGCCATCACCAATAGGACCTTCCGGATGCTCTGCGAGGACGACCCGAATGAGGTTCTGCTGATTTGGGTCCGTTCAGCTGGATCTGCAAATCGTGTCCGGTTAAGGATGCAACCATCAACTTCTACAGATCTTAATTCCCAGATTTTGAAGTCTGATTGCTGTTGCCTAGTTTGGGCACGGACGAGTACAGATAACGTACACCGAAGGCTTGCAGGATAATCTTTGCGTGGCGAGTTTGGCATGCATTAAACCCAGTCAGATATGAGCGGGGGATGCTCAGCCTTTGCCCACCTCCCCGCGATTCATGGCCCCATATTGATAACCAGACCAGGACTTTTATTATATATGGAGTTGCCACCCATTTGCCATAACACTCAGGTTGAAATTGATGTGAACTCTGATTTCTATAGACGTCTAGCTAGTTGTATATATACTAGGGGAAGGAAGGGGGCCACCCCCAGGGTGGCGCGCTAGTAAGTTCAGATGAGCCCTGCACAGCTGAGGCTTCAGCTCGGTTCTCTACAGCTGAGATTTCAGCTGGGTTCTCTACAGCTGATGTTCGGAGAGTAGCTTTCTGGCATATGAGTTGTTGATCCTAGGTTGTAGTGCTGCAACCTGAGTATAACGCGCTCGGTTTAGGAGTGTACGACCGGACTTGTGGGGAGTTTTGGAGGGAATGTAGGAGCCTAGAGCAACCCTACCTTCTCTGTTAAAAATCGTATTATGCAGGCGAGGGCTTGCATATCTGCACACTGCCGCTCCTTCGCTGCCGTTATATCCCGATATAGTCCTTGTAGCATGCGCAGACCGTTGACATATCAAGTCCACGCACGTTGGTCAGCATCACCGATCAGACTAAGGTTTAAAGGGGCATCTCGGCAGCATGCACAGGCAGTGTAAGAACGGTTATCGCACTACAACGCCTTCTATATACATCCTCAGAACGGTGACTTACGGAAGGCCCATTGGTTGACTCCGTAAGTGCATATCAAAAGCTGATATACGAGATTAGGACCACTTACTGAGTGTGTCTAGTCAATTTGATAGCGGCTATGTGTCAACCTGAGCAATACGATTTCGATTGCGGACATAGGGCCGTGGGCGAGACAACGCCTTGCACCAGTGAGGCCCAAGGGGGTGTTTGTAGTGGCATCCAACCAGTACGTTACTTTGGTGCGAGGGATGGAAAATGCCCCGAATGCAGTTACCCTACTCTTTGAGTATGTCGCAGTATATCCTTCAAGAAGCTTTTCTAATGATGGAGTGGTAGGTTCAGGTTCAACATTTATGACAGAGGAATAGTTAAGAAAGAAGGGGTATATGTTATTGTCTAGGCAGCTTCACACAACGCGATTATGATGCCTTCATTCCGTAGCTAAGAATCAAACTGCCTCCATTCATGAGTCTTGGCAGTATTCAACATCCTTCCACCACCTAACTGGCATTTGTTGTGCGGAAGTTTAGGGAGGTCCGCGCCGGCCCCAAGCATAGTTCTGTTTCACCATTTCTTGAAGATTCGATGGGGGGTTTATTAACGTGATGACCCTACGCTTTCGTTAGAACCCTGATTCCATAGGCACGGGAACAGAAAAACTTACAGCCTGTCACCGTCTGAGGTTACTTTGTAGCATACGAAAATGATTTCTTTTTCCAGGTCGTAGTCGGTGACAGCACAGTCAATCAGAACGTGACATTTGGTAGGGCTTTGCTTATTTCCGAACCGTCCAGCCCATCGGATGTAGTCTTTCCCGTAGGTATAATTCCGTCCAAGAAGGGTTTGGCAAGCCAGATGCCCTATGTCGATAGGATCGTGATTTGATCGGCATGAAACGAAAATTCGCTGCACCATAGCTGCGAGAGTGCAGCCAGGCGACTTTGTATCGTAGTTGTAGATGGCAGACGAGGCTGGATGTCGGTTTAACTTCTCATGGAGAGCGTTTCTTAATGCGTCTGTTGAAAATTCATAAGGGTTGGACAGAACACGAATACAAGACTCGCAGTGGCGGTGGTGGTAGGATGATGAAACAGCCTCGTTAATGTTCTCATCGGTATCGGTAAGTTATTGTTGCGCAACAGCTAGAAGGGATGTGCGATGTCCAAGAGCGAAGGGCTGGAGGGGAGTGGGAGCGAAGAGGAGACGCAGCCAGCCTTCCAGGAGGCTGCCCGGACTGAACCATGCCTATTTAAGCTTAGTGCGGGAGGATCATGAGAGCGGGGGGATGGTGAGAGTGGGAGAATCATGCAATCTGGCACACATCAGTTTTCTGCACAATCCTCTCTAAAACGCCGTCTCTCGCGGTGGCTTGCCCACTGCTCGATGAATTGCGTTGAGTTCTTAGGCACTGATGACTGCGAGAACAGCGCTTGCAGAGTCTCGGGCGTCAAAGGAAGCGTTCGTGACGGACGCAATGTAGGGGTGAGGGGTAGGCGGAGGATATGGATGGGGCAGGGGATGGCGACGCGCGGGGGGAGGGGTTTGGCGGGGAGGACGGGGGTGGTCGGACATGGTCAAGGGTCGCTGGGTGGAATTAGGGAGGACGGGGCGATTTGCGCAGATGTACTGTGAGATGTCAGGGGATCCGACATAGACGTAGAAAACTCGAGAACTTACCAGTTGACAAAGTACACTCGATCTATAAAAGGCTTAGTGTATAGCGCCAGGTCAAGTATGTAATTGTGCACACTACTGTTCCAAGCGGCTTCGCTACAACCCTTTCTTTCGCACCGCGCGGCTAGCCACACAGCCTTTGCGCATTGTTGTGGAGTCGGAGAGGGGCCAGGCAGGTCGTCCGGATCAGCGTAGACGAAATCGTAGGCGTTGATGGCTCCAAGGGCGCCTGTTTTGATGCCTGCAATCTCATCCTTGGGAAACTGGTCAGCGTGGACTATCGAGCAAATAGGAAGACGAGTTAACCTCATATTCGTTGGATATGACGCGAATGCCCCGCGAAAGACGGCCGTCGATGTCCTTAAGCATACTCTTGAGCTCGTCCGGGATCTCTTCCCTCCGTTCGTGAAATTTGTTGCAGTTCAATGGGCTGCGGCGCCGATCTCTTGGCGTTGATTCTCTTCTGCCATTCTTGCCCGTGATCATCGTCCAAGGTCATCACTCGGGTTGCAGCAACCTAGGATCAGCAACTCATACGGTTCACTAGGTATCCCTTACTCTCCCTTTCTCTTCCTTACGAAGTTGTGGTGCTTCCTTGCTGTCAAAGGAAGGGAGTGGCTTTCCTTGGCGCCTTCCTCGCTGCCGAGGCCTTGGCACCAAGGGAGCGCCCTAAGGGATAGTTCATCTCGTTCCTCTATATAGTCCGCCTTTACGGCATCTACAATACAACAAAGTTCACATCAATTTCAACCTGAGTGATATAGGAACTTGACCAAAAACACGTACCTGCGTCTTAAAGGGCGCCATCACCATACAGGACGGACGCTTGGCGCTGCACCAGAACCTCATCACGCTCCTGCAGATTCACCCGCTCCGATTTTGTGGCTGACGGCTTCCATAATCACCCCTTGTTTCTGGCAGCCAGTAACACGCCTCTATTCTCCCTTGTTTCTCTCCCTTTCTCCTCCTTACGGAGTTGCACATCTCCCTTACGAAGTTGTGTTGCTCCCTTGCTGTCCCTTGCTGTCCCTTGCTTCCCTTGCTTCCCTTGCTTCCCTTGCTATCCCTTGCTTCCCTTGCTATCCCTTGCTGTCAAGGGAGTCTCGTTACTCTATATAGTCCCTCGTTACAACCTCGATACAACTCATGCTTCCTTCACTGATTCTTTGCCCTTCCTACGCCAGCTGCCAGTTTCTCTTGGGAGGTACGATCTTTCCCAGCTACCACAACTTGTATTACAGACAAAGAAAATATAAAGATTACAACCAAACTGTGAGGAGCTTTTGAATTGGAAATAGCGAACCATATACTCACAATATGAATAGGCGAGAAAATCACGCCTATGCAAGGAAACGCAAACCGTCATCCCCCACGCCCGACAGTACCGGCCTTGAGAATTCCTGAAATACCGCGAGACCGACAAGACAGCAATCAACACACCAATGAACGAGACATCGACGTTCAAGACGCCGAAGGAACGCCGATTGACGAAGCAAAACAATGGATGACGTTTCGTCCTAAACCCAATACAAGACTCCTCACGGTCGACATGCAGACTCCTCAATCCATGGAGCACCCTAAATACCCAGTCATCAGAGAAGGGATGGCGATAGAGGGACAAGATGAGAGGCACGATGGAGGTGACCACACGAATATGAACGGAGTTAGTAGCTACAAAAGCGGAGGTAGGAACGCGGGTAACGCGGAGGGTAAGGTTGAGGATGAAGATAAGAGACTGGAGCTCTAAGTTGGTCGCGAACGCCTGGGCTTCCAACACATGTGCCCGATATCCAACAATGATAGTTTTAGCACACATGCAAACCTAGATGAACGACGTGATTCTGTCCACACCCTTTCCAAGCTTACCCTCCCCCCCCAATTTGGTATATAAGACACGGCATGTGCTTTTGTGCCAGTTTAGTCAGCCGGATGGCTAGAAATCACTCCAAGAAGAGATAGAACAAGGGTATCCCCTATTCCGGGCAGCTGCTCGTCCAATTTTCTCCCTGTACATGATAGATTCGCGGCAATGCTTTGACAGTTTCCCGGTGGAGGAAACGATGATGGAAGTGATGGGCAGCACAACGGACTAGTACAAGTTTATGATTGCATCCATAAAGTGGTATGCCATCGTAGGCGCGCCGAAAGTGTATTGACACCAGAATCACACAGCGCAACTCGCGAACAGTGTTAAGCAATGGAGCTCACGCGTCTTGTGCTGGCGTTACGCGACGACGGGCAGCGAGCTTCCGCGGCGGTGCATGCCGTTTCTATCGACGCGGGGAGAGGAATCGACATGAGTGTAAGAATTCTTCGATCGATCGATCGATCCACCCATCTTCCAATTCTCATCCGCGCTCCCTTCTCCGAAAAACCGTCACGTTAGACGAGGCGCTCAGCGACGATAATAACATTTTTCAAGAGTTGTCGTATCCAGAGAAACGGCTAAACTTTTGTACTGTACTTGCCTCTTTCAACATCTCAAAGAACTTGAAGATATTTTTTTTTCCACCTAGGGTTTCCCAATGGCCTTGGCTATTCATCGGTTTTAATTGATTGTGGCGACTGTTGTAGATTTGAACCGTCTTAGATATTGTGCCCGTTCCTATTTAGCGTCCGTGGCGACACGGGTATCCGAATGTGATCCTGAGAGCGCCGCTCTGGAGGTCGGTTTGGATGGCGTTAGAGAAACGAATGCCACTTTCTAGGAAATGAGGACCGGGTGCTCGCTCGACCAAAGCCCGTGGATTCTGGCACGGCATCTTCATTATCGAGCCTAGTCGGGCTTGCCTCCAAACTTTTATATACGCAGGCAGCTGGCGCGTCATAGCGGGCGCCTTATCCGTTCACAGTTCGACAAGGCAGCTAGTGTTATGCACGTAACGCTGAAAAATTTCGATGGCCGGTTCTTTTATATCGCCTTCCCGTTGGGCACCAACGCTTGAGAGCAGCCATGTGGCTTATCGACTTATGAACACATATCCACTCGCTCCTTCGGCTCCACTTTGCTAGTCGCCTGTACCGCAGCCCAGTCAAGTCGCTCTACGTTTCAAACCTACGATTTGTTGCTGGGAAAAGTCACATCTACCGCGCCAGTAAATACCAACTTTCCCATTCTCTCCTCTTCCTTTCTCCATTTGCTGGCTTTCATAGCCTCGAAAAGGTAGTCACCTAGCATGATCCTCATCGCTTCGACCGATCCCCTCTTTGCTCGAGAAATAGATTGCCCGAATGATGAGCATAGCCAGACCTCCAATTTGAAATCGCCTCCTATTTGACAAGGAAGACGCAAGCGCACGGTATCAGTAAGTTTTATTGATCCATCATCCTCTTCTCGATGTCTCATACGACTCGACTTTATACCTGTGAAGAGGAAGCTCCCAAGAATACTCTCTAGCTTCTCCACCTCAGCCATCGCGGCTATCCAGCTCGTTTCAATGTCACTTCCCTCAACTTAGCCGACATTTTGCCCCCCCGGGCTAGCCTCTTCGGTGGCTCCTTCTTGGTATATGGGCTCACTTGACGGTTGGGAAGGGGATGAATCGAGACTCAATGCGTGTGTCGCCTGAAGATTGACAGCTGCCGGGGTTTCGGTGGTCTCGAAGGATCTCGCCCGGATCGCGCGATTACGACCATATGAGGCATTGGACTGGCCTTCCTGGCCCGTTCCATTGCCCTTATTGACGCAGCTGAGCTGGTCTAACATACTCAGATGACTGAGACACGAGGAAATCCAGGCATCTTGCTCCTCTGGCCCTGGAATGCTCTCTGCCGCAGAAAATATTGCACGCTCTGTAAGAGATGAGTATTAAATTCGGTAAAAGAAGAACCAGCTTACCAAATTCAGCTACTACACGTTGCGTGGTGGTAAAGTTCGGATCGTTCGAGGAGTTTCTGGGTGCTCTCCTTAGCGAAGTATTCTCGAAGACTTCTTGGTCTTGTGTGTGATTTGGAGAATCGGCTGTCTCGTCCTGGGGATGACTATGCCCATCGCTCATTGCAACCTCTGCAAGCGTTCCGTCCCTACCCTCTTAACGTACCGCTCTAGGCACTTCACACTCTACGGCGAACGATCAAATACTAGGATGTATGACTTTGTTATTCTCCTTGTTATCTGTAATTACATTGACTAAGCTATCAAGTACAGTGCCCTTCGTGTAAGACAGCAGATTTTGCGAAAAGGCGATCGCGCATAACAGGTAATAGCAGGGGCTTATCCCAAGCACTCCGTCGAGAAAGCGCTGTTGCCTTTGGGATCTATAAGATAATCCCTTTCTCGCCGCGATGTTCGATGGCATCTCCAACATACTTGGTTTGTAAACCTGTCAAATTTTCTTGAAACTTCAGTCGCCTTGACGTGTCCTTGATTTTTTTTCCAGCCAGCAGCACTTTCCTCTAACTTGATATATTTCGGCTTTTGCCGAGGCATGATTAAAAAGGATTTGAACTGGAAAGTCGAGCAGGGTGAGCTGCGCGTTGTGCAGGATGAGCCGGGCGTGGAGGGAGCGTTGAGAGCGAGCAGTAGAGCGAGCAGTAGAGCGAGCAGAACAGCGTGCAGTAGAGCGAGCAGAACAGCGTGCAGCGTGCAGTCAAGTACACAATGTGGCCTCCATGCGCGCCCCTGCTTGCCAAGTCCGGCGCTATCGTTTCTTTTCACTTCCGCAGCCTGCAAGAGGCTCGAAAGAGAAAGATTTAGACCGGATCCATGCGACTTCGGTCAATCAATCTGCAAATCATGTAAGAAGGATTTGCTGAGCTTGATCCGGAGGAATTGTATGCACTCACATACGGAATCGATAGATTAACGCCAGACGCAAGCTCTCTGCTGCCTTATTGCAAAAATTTGAGCTTTTGCGTTGCCTTTATACATATATAAGTCAAACCCATAAGTTCGTTTACTTAAAGATCCCCGGTTCCTCTCCATTACTTCCAACTATCTTCCGATACCCCTATACCTTCTGCAAACGCATCTCTGCATCCACAACATGTGTGAAGTCCTCGTTACAAAGACAAGATGGCAGAATTGCGAAAGATCAGTAAAGCACGTAAGCGAGGACAAGATCGAAAATCCACAGCATTCACCTCCCTGCGCTAGACCTTGGCCAGAAAGGGAGCAGGGACTCCGTACCAATCGTACGAGCAACTGCCCATACTGCTCTGCGCCTAGCAACGGCGCCCGAGTTGTTTGGTGAGGGCACTGATGGATTTTAGCGACGCTTTTGCTGACGAGATATAGATGCGGGTATTGAAGAATGGGTGCTTTACAGCTATGCGGATGTTTGATTTCGCTGAAAGTGGATCTGTTCGGGCTTAATTATAGGGAGATTTCATGTTTACTTAGCAATTTCGAGGGATTATATGGGATGAGTGAAAAATTGACGCCGTTATACTTTATGTCTATCCTGCTCTAAAGCCACAAGTTGTGTCAAGCACTGAGCAACATCTTGATAAATTTGAAACCAGCATTTATGGATAATCCCCCCACCTAAAACGGCATCCGTGCTAGGGAACTCAGCACGCTCATAGCGTTTTCTAATCTCTTCGTCGTCATCAAAGCTGTCTAGCTCGGGATAAGGCTCCTATCTTATCATGATCTCGTGGAACGTGGAACCGAGGGCAAAGATATCCGACCTGTTTGAAATATTAGCGCTGTATGGGAATTTTGTCACTAACTTCCTACCTTTTGTTATCCTGACCAAAGGACGGGGAAGGTATGACTTAACGGGCTCCAGCGCAGAGCCGTTAATAATCGATAATCCAGTCAATGGATCCTCGACACGCCCCTGAAAATCTGAGAGATTAGCGTTGAGATTCCTATCTAGGAGAAGGTTATCTGTGGATATGTTACAATAGATGATGGACTTCGAGTGAGCATGCGTGATAGCTTCGGCCGTTTGTCGACACCATATAATTTTCTGCTTTGCTGAAATCGACTTCGCATTCAACTCCAGGAAGCGCTTCACATTTCCATTCGGCGCGGATTCCAGTCGAAGACCGTGCTCGTTGAGACCAAAGCACGTAAGAACCCTAGGATGGCAACCGAGGATGCTGTACGTCTTCTCTTTAGCAACGACATGTTCCTAACCTCTACCCTTGACGAGCGGGTATTTGAGCACCGTGCTATCGTCCCGAAGGCCTATATAACAAGAGCTCCCGACCCAACAGGGTGCCTTCACGCCTTCAGGAGAGTGGTAACTGACGGTGGTGGAGAACATTGGCTAAGGGCGAATGGCGAACGGTGGAAAGCGAACGGCGGGGGCGAATGGCGCACGGCGAATGGCGCACGGCGAATGGCAAATGGCGAAGGGCTAAGGAAATCTATAAGTTAAGCTTCCCAAAATTCATCCTGGTAAGTTGCATGATTGCACCAGATGGACTGAACGAGCACCTGATTGATTCATAGCTCTTCGACAAACCGCCCTCGGCCCCCGCCAGTGGCCTTTGCCAAGCTTCGTTCTCACCCTTATATCACGTGCAATGTGTCAGGGATTGAACTTGGGCGGTGAATTCGACACCACACAAACGTCGCCTCCACCGTGCCATCATTTGATTCTTGTCGCCTCCAAGTCTTTTTTGCCCTGCCTTTTCGCCTTCCCCGATGCCATGAGTCCTCCCGCGCCTGGTTGGACGGCGCACTCCCCTCCCGTTGCGTCCCGCTGCGAAGCGCATACGCTCCGCCCTCGCTGAGATGAGTCTGCCGCCGAACGATCCAGAAATATCAAGTTTTACCACCACTCCTACGACCTATCGCGCTGGCTAGCACCTCCTCCGTGCCTGCTCTATCACCTCCTTCACTCCGCTCCCATCCCCGAAAGCACCTCTACTCTCACTACTCTCGTCACCATCACCAAATTGCCCTCTATGACAGTAGACGCCACCTCTATCCGTGGCTGGAAGCACCTCCTATTCTTCCCTAACTTACCTCTAAGGTCGGTTTCTCATAGATCTCCGATTCAAAAGATCTCAGATGGTTGAAGACCTGATTCCCCTTGGGGCGCGTCCCCACGTATGTCTGAATGCAACCTCAAATATACTCAGCGATGAACAATCAAGCTCCTTCTTAAAGCTGTCTCAGGTTTCGAGATAAACCGGGAAGGGCACGAGATGGAGAAGGTTTCCACTTACTGTTAGCAAGTTTTGACACAGATCCTCTAGCTCCACACTTTTAGAAGAGGTAAGAGCCGATAATACACAATTCTAGACGGGATGCAGATTCCTAGACCAAATAAGTAATTCTCGTAATTAAACACGTTAAGGGGTGGTAGAGGTCTTTGCTAGCTCGATATGTAGTCAACGTGAATTCGTCATCGAACGACTCACACCTTGCGGCCTTCAGTATAATCTCCAGACCAAATCATGAGCGAGCTAGCGAAAAGCCGTGTAAGAGACGTACAAGTATATCCGAGACCTCCAACATGTATGTTAGGGTTCTACCTAAAAGCCGCCGCGGCCTTCTTCTTGTAGATGCCAAGAACCTCGCGTCCAAACCACTCTAGATACACGGTCCGACCCCAATCTACGATGCAACACAGATTGGCATATAAACGACACATGCTAAGCCAACTATCCGTGCTCCCCAGCGTCACTTGGCCCATAACACTAAGCCTGAGCGTCCCCTCAGTGCCATTTGCATCCAGATCCGCTTCATCTATCGTCGCAACCACAGCATACAACCGCCAGTAATCGCCCTCGATCTCCATGGCCAGCGCCGGCATCCCAATATCTACTTCTTCGATCTCGCACTTAATGAACTCGGCGGCGACCCAAGCAGCCAGTTGGACCATCGGATCGGTGCCGCCATACGTGCGCTTAACCTCGATGCTGAGGAGCAGCGGGTTTTGGTGGATGAAGGTCGAGGCCTGGTTAATAGCCTTGGAAGGTTCGATAGTTTCCGCTTGCGCGGTGCAGAGGGCGGCTTTGGTTATATGGTGTAGCTGTAGGCCGATGGCGAGGTCGATCTTTTTGTCAAGATCTTTGAAACGGGTAGGCACGGGGATGACTAGCACGCGCAGCATTATTGGCTTGCTATCTAGGCAGCCCTCGCCGAGGATGATCATTAGGACACAACGACTAACAGTATCTGCCTCGACTGATAGGTGGCTATCATGAGTCACATCAAGGCCGGTTTTGGGTTGTCGGCGTCCAGGAATACGCCTTCCCCAGCGCCATGAGTCCCGCCACTCCCCAAACCTTGCAGAACGACGTCCCCCATCCCCCCTCTGTCCCGCGTGTGGTATATGCGATGGGCGGAAAGGTATAATGATGGGGAGTGTGCAAGGAGAGGTGCAGGGAGAGGGGAGATTGTAGCACATGAGAGGCCGTCGCAGCCAGGGAGGGCGAAGAAGCGCGCACATAAGGACTGGAGAGTCGCGAGGTGCGAAAAGCGATCGCGGCTGGAGAAGGCGAAGACGCGCCAAAGGAAGCTGAAGGTATCAAGGAGCGAGAGGAAGTTGTAGCGGGAGGCTGTAGGCTAAGGCGCAAATGAAAGTTGGGGAGGCTGTTAGAAGACAGTGAGCCATGGAGGAAGAGAAGGGTATGAAAATGAATGATGGTAAGGTCATTGTGCAATGCGCATGCATGTGCGCGGTGTGGTAGAGATGAGTTCTGTTGGACAATAGAGGATGCGCGCGCAGAAGGGAGGGGTGAATGAGGGGGTTGCAATCAAGGAAGGCGAGTGCGGAGGGCAGTGACTTGCGAGAGCTGCACCAAAGACGAGAGCGAACACCCTGAGAACGAGCACCCCAACGATAATAAGATCCCTCCATCTAAATTAAGATTAATAGCTGATGTATTTCGTTACCTAGAGGATGCAGAAGGGGTATAAATGGGCTGTGTGTCGTCATAATGAACGCGATAGAAGCGAAGCCCACCTCTTTCGTTCCCGAAGCTGCAAATTGACCCTCTTGGGCTTGAAGGACCCTACGCCAACTTCATCAGGGGGGCCTGAGAGAAAACTGGCCGGACAAGACAGATCGCTTGTGGGCTGTAATTTGTAAACAGGGCGGCGGCGGCACGTGACATGGCCGCACCCCTGCTATCCGCCGTCGCATTTTTGGGCCACCTCTCTTGCTCTTGCTCATCCTCAGATTTCAGATTGCATAGCTTTGGCGTGCGGCTCGATTTTCGCAGGTCTTAGGGCAATTCGTCGCACGTTGTGGTCTCGATGTCAAGGGGAGATGTTGCAACGAGCGCAAACCTTGATCTCCTTTGGGACAATGCCGCGCCCGTGCATCTCCACACGCTGGAGAGTACAATGCAGATGTTGAATATAAGGTGGGAGATCTCGTGCTTCAGCAAAGTCTGCCAGCGTCACCGCCCGGTACGCAACCTTGAGGTCCGCCATCTTGTTTGCGGGATCGGCACGAGGCCTTTGAGCTAGCCCTCGAGCTGGCCCTCGAGCTAGCCCAGTTCTTATCACACTCTTCGCTTTAGGCAGGCGTTGCCATCACAATGAGGGCCGGGATAACCACGGGTCGAGTCGCCCGTGGAGTCGCATATGGATCAGCGCCATCTACAGCGTCCCTTTCCAAATGCCGCGAGACAACAGGCTTCGGCGGCCGGTTGCGCCGCTGTGCTGGTGTCTTATTCAGCACCCGGCCATTTATGGTCTCCATGATTGTATTCATTTGTGCAGCCCTCGGTGTAGATGGGGTTCGAGCCTGGGACCGCGCCCCAGAAGCATTTTTACGCGCGGTCGACCGTTGGCGCATTTGGGCAGGAAGACGAGGGCCATTGGTCGGCGATGGACCGTTCGACAGCAGACTCATCTCGGTGAGGGCGGAGCGTTTGCACTTTGAAGCGAGAGCGACGGGACCGTGGGAGGACGAGGGCGTCGTTCGCGCGGCTTAGGGAGGTGGTCTGCAGGTGTGTTGGGCGGAGGGCGCCGCGGGCGCCGAAGACGTCGTCCAACCAGGCGTCCGCAGGACTCATGGCGTCGAGGAAGGCGAAAAGGCAGTGCAAGAAAGACCTGACAACGACAGGAATCAAATAACGGCACGGTGGAGCATGCGCGAAGGCGACGTTCGTGTTAACGTTAGTCCCTTTATGGAGGTTAGCAGCGTTAATGTCAACATAGTTTAGGCAGGGAGGGCAGCCGACCCGGGATAAGGACGGACAGGCGTCACTATTAACAGCAGTAGCAAAGTAGAAAGAGGTGGTGGTAAGCCGCTGCAATCACACAAATAACCGTAAGAATTCTGTGACCTTATGCTCCTAATGCTTGGTCCGACAAATCTGCTTTGCGGCTGTGGTGCTTGACCGAACGCAGTCGATGCAGAGGCCATTACCTTTCTTGAAATCATCTAGCCTCGATTTGCGCCTTCTTCTATACCCGGGATCTCCATGCCAACGATAGCTGCATGGAACCCATCCGCGAGGTATGGTCGGATCGTTCATGTTCTCTAATTTCTCAAGAACCCCCGATATTGTAGTACTAAGCGTTTGCAAGGGCCCTAATTCTTCTTTCTGAAGCAGCTTCATATAAGCAAAACCATGCTGACTTGACCACCCACAACTACAGTTGCAGTGATCATCCGTTCCAGCATCACTTGCTCCATCGAGTAATATCTTCTGCAGTTTCGTGCGCATCTGGTTTCTTCGCTCTTCTAGGAAATCTATAGCGAAGCATTAATACCTAGCTCGGAAAGTTTGCATAATACGTACAGAAAACCTTCCATGGGACAATATCAACCAAACCAACGTCCTTATCAGCGAGTGGGAGGTAGCAATCCTTATGGCGAAGTATCATTGCGAGTGTAATCTCACTGAAAGCCCGTGCGTTATCAAGTATGTATGCGGCGGCCATAAGATACCCAAGTTCTATAATACCTTGAACCTCCTTTGGGCTCAGCCAAAGCATGCTGGCGTATTTTACAGCCACGATGCAGTCAAACTTATCTGCGGTGACGGCAATTTCGAAGGCTTTAATCGGGTCCAGGGTTTCAGGCACGACATCGTTACGAAGATGGAGGATGTTGCAGAGAATCTCCAAGGCGTTTGCATCGTCATCCGGCATAGATATCTCCTTAGGACTGTCCCCTCTTAAGTCCTGGCCTTCACTAAAGTGCGGTCCGAACATAGCGTTGAAGTATTTCGAGGCATTCTTAAGAACGGATGAACAGACTTGTATCCTTCTTTGGTGCGGGCCGACGACTAAGATGACATTGCCGTTTGTAGCAATTTCGGCAACTGAAGTTGAGGACTGATCGCTATTATCTGTCGCCATACTGTGAGCCTACCAGGAAGTTACCCAAAAGTTTAGCGAATATACGCTCGCAGAGTGGTAGGAGCTCGGCGATGACGCTATTCAACTAGTGCTGAACGTAACCTCGGTTTGTGCAATGTCGCGGACCTATACGTCTTGGCTGGCAGGGCTCGTCTAGGGGATTTGAATAGCGTTGAAGGTAAGGAAATAAGAGTATTATGGTAAGAAGAAGGGAAAGAGTACAAAGTGGAGATATTGCAACCGGTTCGGCTGAACGGAGAGACTTTCAGCTGCTGCGGGGCTGCAGCTCAGCCGAAGCCACTAACTTAGATGTACCAACCTGCGTGGCGAACTTTCGCACCACACCATAGGCATCGTTGATAATAACTGCCCAGGATTCTAGTAGGATTATAAGGCTCGGGCTAGGCCCTTTTATGACCGTCAAAAGTAATAAGAGATTGATAGTGGTGCTGTGGCGACGAAATTCTATCGCACCATGAAAGTGCACGTTGCGAAATTCAGGCGATAATACGGCCTCGCCAGCGTAATATTTAGGTAGGGGTGGTCTCAGATGTTTAGGAGTAGCTACAGCGCAAAGTCCATATAGAATTATAAAAACATTAACGGGTGTGCAGGTCCTATGTTGCTTTGAAGTTGAAGTAACCTGGATTTGGCCCGGCACATAGGGATGCCCGGCACGCAGGGGGAGTGTAACGTGTCGTCTTAACTCTACTCTGCAAATGCTCGCGCAGTGCTTCGTACAGTTCAGTCTTGCGTTGGGGTGCAATAGTCTTCAGAAGGTCAGGCAAAGATATCTCAGGCATAAGACGATGATACCATACAACAGAGTGTACTGTATATCTTGAGTTGAACACGAGGTTCCTATCTACGAGAACGAGTGTGCTTAAATACAAAAGACAACTCCTAAGAAATCTATGTGTTCGAGCTGCTCACTACGAGCCGCTCGATCCGTCACGTAACCTCGTAGCTAGCCCGGGGAATCCAACACGCACCATTAGCCTAGGCACGTGACTTGCCACGGTACAAGAAGGTACTTCTCTACCACAGCTTGAGCTGACAATGGTGTGGCCGGTGCGGGTCGGCCGTCCTCCCTGCTTGTGGTGGCAACATTCACTGCCAAGTCTCTTTAATATTAGATATTAGTTGTAACTATGCTTACCGGGCGCAACCTATTCCACAGTTCACTAGCTCCGCCTGCTGCTATAAGTAGGAAATAGATTTACTAGGGTCTCTGCTAGCTCTATTTACTTCATGATCTCTTTTAGGATGCCCTGATAACGGTTACGAGAGTGCAATACAAATTGGAGTCTCTTTAAACTCCGATGTCCATGTTCTCTAGCTGCCACTGATTCAGAGTCCTAACCGATGATTTTGCGTATGGATGTTGAGGGCCAAGAACCTGTTCTCGTAGCTGGTCCGATCCGGGAAGAGTTCAAATATATCCTTCCACTCCATGGCCATGTTATTCCTGTACGTGAGTAGCCGCAAGTCGTCCGAATCCAACCACGGCACACGCGTTCGTTGGCGGAAGCGCATATCGCCTCTGTTGAACCTCGGATCAGAGCCCATAGCATGAGGCTTGTATTCCGTTGTGTCTTCATCTGCGTCCTCGTCCTCGGCAGGGCTAGATCTAGTTTACTTTCGGCTAATAAGATTCAGAAATTCTTCCCTCGTTTTAGCGGTCGACCGCAAGCGGCCGAGCATGCAACTAGTGGTGGTAATTGCTCCAGTCTTCTGCACCCCACGCATCACCATACAGAGATGGCTAGACTCTACAACGACGGAGACGCCTTGCGGCTGGAGCAATTCGGAGAGGCCCAGAGCGACCTGCTTTGTGAGCCGTTCCTGGACTTGAAGTCGACGCGAGAACATTTCGACTATCCTAACGATCTTAGAGAGACCAATTACTCGGCGGTTGGGGATGTATCCGATATGCATCTAGCATTGTTAGCCTAAAATAGACTAGGAACGGGGTCGCTAATCATACCTTTCCAGAAAATGGCACGAGATGGTGCTCGCAAAGCGAAAAGAAGTCAATGTCTTTCACAATTACCATCTCATCATGGTCTTCGTGAAATATAGCGCCGTTCACGATGGCGCGCAGGTCGTCTTCGTAGCCCTTTGTGAAGAAGAGCATGGCCTTCGCATAGCGCTCTGGGGTATTAAGCAGGCCTTCTCGGTCGGGATCCTCGCCCACGCATTCCAGGATCGTCCTTACGGCGCCTGACAGCTTGGCCAGGCGTTCTTCCATTTCCTTCTCGGTCGCCTCCCTCCTCTGGAGTGTTCCTCGACCTCGGATCTGTTAGTCAGTCTGTAGTCTCACGCCAGCAGATCTACCTACTTGGCCAACTCAAGCCATCAAAGTCGATTGTGGGGTGAGGGGTATAGGGGCTCTGTGCGCGGCTTGTAGCCAATGGTGTCCTCGTAGGACTACCCTCGTTGTACCCTTCCACGTCGATCTTGCTGTGTTCCATCTGATGTCTCTCACGGCCGTCGCTATCATCCATATGTGCGCTTGTGGACATAGCTGCAAAGGGTGTAGAAGGTTGGTGGTGGGGCTACCAGCTCGCTTGTAAACTACGTCAAGCATCTCTATGGCGTATGATACGGCGCATCCTAATTGGGTATAGCGCTGCTGCGCCGCAGAGCTGTCATGCCTTGCAGTCAACCCCTCTTTTCGCTGCTTCATCATTACTTGGACGGTTGTTGATCCTAATAAGGCCCACATCAGCCATCGTTGTCATCACAGCCATTCCCGACTGAAATGGCCACACTCGACTCCCTAAAGCGGGCTCTTAGACAGACAGCCAAGACAACGGCGTCGTCCCCGAAGCAGCCTTTGTCCGACACACAGTACGGCGTCGGCTTCGATATCTTGGTACAGGACTCAGGATGTATGGCCTACCAAGACTTCATTATCCCTCAATTATCTCAGCTGCTAAGCCCTCTCTTCATCTCGCGTACCCATATCTCGGCACTAGAGATCGGACCCGGCCCAAAGAGCATACTTGGACATCTTCCCGCCCATCTGAGACGAAAGGTCAAGAGATACACTGCATTCGAGCCTAACGGTTTATTCGCTACAAGGTTGGAAGAATGGCTTTGCCCTACCTCCGAGATGAAGTCCCCGCTGCCTTGTCTGGACGGCCCGCCTGATATCCATCGAGTTCCATTCGTTCTGAAGGACACCATCGTGAACGGTAACAATACGGGTGATGACGAGGATGAATACGACATCATCCTATTCTGCCATAGCATGTATGGCATGAAGCCCAAACATAGGTTCATCGAACGGGCGCTGGAACTGCTTGTTGAGCGGCCACAAGGCGGAATGGTAGCGGTTTTCCATCGTGACGGGGCCCTGCATCTCGACGGCTTGGTGTGCCATCGAACGGCTTCTTTCCCTTCCGGAGTCGTTCGCGTGGCAGATGACGATGAGGTACTAGACTGTTTTGCTCCTTTCATCGCGGGGTTCATCATACAAGACGTGGACGTGGACGAGGCTATCCGAATCGAGTGGCGTAAGGTGTGCCGCGCCTTGGGCCGTCGCGAGGAAGCTCACCCAGACCATCTCTTCTTCAGTTCACCGGAAGTCATGGCAGCCTTTACCCAACATGCGACCACATTGCCGGAGCTGACGGCGCAGGTGCCATTGGGGAAGGACCAGGCAGTTAAAAACCGAGAAGCCCGCCTCTACCGCCCTGCCTCGATGATTAGGCCAACAGAGGTCCGACACGTCCAGCAGTGCGTTCGATGGGCTCTAAAGCACGGGGTCGGCCTTACCGTCATTGGTGGGGGTCACAGCGGCCACTGTCTACGGCCCAACGTTGTCTCGGTCGACATGGGCGCCTTTGACAAAGTACATATTCTTACAGCGGGGGACGATGGAGGAGATGCCGGGTCCGATTCCGGTTCCGATTCTAGTTCCTTCGTCGTCGCCGAGGCGGGCTGCAAGACGGGGGATATCGTTCGCAAGGCCATGGCGGCGGGCGTGACAGTACCGCTAGGGGCTCGCCCAAGCGTAGGTGCGGGGCTGTGGCTACAAGGCGGCATCGGGCACCTAGCTAGGTTGCACGGGCTCGCATGCGACGCCATCGTCGGTGTCGTTATGGTCAGCGTCGAAACTGGCCAGGTCCTCTGCGTCGGCCATGTACCAAGCCAACACCGGCCGGCCGATGCTGTTCGCCCAGCAAACGAACCCGATCTTTTATGGGCGATAAAAGGCGCCGGGACTAATTTTGGCATCGTGGTCAGCGCGACTTTCAAGGCTTACACGGCTCCGACCTACTTGACTCGAAACTGGGTCTTCCCGCTGAGTGACAACCTCGAGGCACGGCTCAGGCTCAGCGACTTTGATAAACTCGTCGCCAGGAAGCTCCTCCGGAACTGTTCTGCAGACGCGTATCTGTACTGGGACGCCGGCCGGCTGCATCTTGGCGTGACTATAATTGAATCTTCCACGAGTAGGTCCACTTTTGAAACATTCACGCCCACACCCGTAGGTGCAACTTTGGGGCCGGAAGACGCTTTCAAGGCCGTGGACGCCGTCGGTTTGTTCGAGACGGAGATGTACGTCTCCGGAATGCACGGCGGGCACGGTGGCGGCAAGACGTCCTCGTTCAAGCGATGTTTGTTCCTAAAAAGCATCGGAGAAGCGAACGTCGTCGACCGGTTGGTAGTGGCCGTTAAGACTCGTCCCTCGCCACTCTGTTATCTCCATTTGCTGCAAGGTGGTGGAGCGGTGGGCGACGTTGCGGCTGATGCCACTGCTTTCGGCTGTCGAGACTGGGAGTTTGCCTGCGTGATAACTGGTGTCTGGGACCGCGCCCAAGATGGCACCGAAGCCGCGCGATCTGCCGTGCGATGGGTTTACAAAGTCGCTGAGGAACTGTTGTCCTTAAGTAGCGGAGCTTACGGCGCCGACCTCGGGCCGGACCCCAGAGACGCGACGCTGGCGGCCAAGGCTTTTGGACCGAACCGACCACGCCTGGCCCGTCTCAAATACAGCTTGGACCCGCGCAATGTGTTGGCTTACGCCTGTCCGCTCCCGAAAGCGTTGATGGAGCAGAAGGTTGTCATTCTTGTCACGGGCGAAAGCTGCGCCGGCAAGGACTATTGTGCCAACGTCTGGGTCTCCGTTTTCCCTAAATGCACCCACAAGAGACTCACGGCGCGGACAGTCAGCATTAGCGATGCGACTAAGCGAGAATACGCGGCGACTACCGGTGCCGACCTAGACCGCCTTCTTGAAGACCGTGCCTACAAGGAGCAACACCGGCCGGCGCTGACGAGATTTTTTCAGGAACAGGTGCGGCAACAACCTCGACTGCCAGAGCAGCATTTTCTAGATGCTGTGTACGGCGCCGTAGATGTGGACGTGCTGCTAATCACCGGTATGAGAGACGAGGCGCCTGTCGCAGCGTTGTCGCATTTGGTGCCAGACACCAAGCTACTTGAAGTTCACGTCCAAGCTAGTAAACAGACACGGCAGACTCGCCGAGGGTGCCACGGCAGTGACGATAATGGTAACAATAAGGACAGCAGCAATAACAGGTCGAATTTGACAGCCTTGGACTACCGCCCCAGTCTCGCCTTCGCCAATGACACGGCGGGAAACGAAGCGGCAGAAAGGTTTGCCGAACAGCACCTGCTTCCTTTCTTTCACGAGGACCTGCAGCGACTAGCCAATATGGTGCGTCCGATACCCAACTTTCCACGCCCAGATATCGAGTTTCGCCACGTGCTCGGCATCTCCCAGCAGCCGGGTGGGCTGGCCCTGTGCACGTCTCTGCTGGAAACCCACTTCATCGGTGACTGGGCCAAAGTCGATGCGGTGGCGTGTTGCGAGATTGGTGGCTTTGTCTATGCGTCGGCGTTGGCCTCGCAGGTCGATGTGCCCTTAGTGCTAATTCGTGAAGCTGGCAAGCTCCCCCCACCCACCGTTTCTGTTATCAAGCCCCCCTCGCATATCTCGTCCTTGGCATCCAATAGTACGAAAGAGAAGCGGATTGAGATGGAGCGGGATGTAGTCCCCAGGGGCGCGTCAGTGGTGGTGGTGGACGATGTGCTTTCCACGGGGGAGACGCTATGTGCGGTCCTACAGCTATTATGTAAAGCTGGCATCAGCGCCGAGGATATTAGCATCATGGCCGTGGCCGAATTTCCAGTTCACCGTGGCCGAGAGCTGTTGCACCGACGTGGGTTTGGCAGAATTAATATTCAAAGCCTTCTGGTCTTTGGCGGTGCTTAGGAAAGGAAGAAGGAAGGAAAGGATATTGAAATCTTAGATTTGTGATAAGGATAACTAGCTTGTGATAACTATGTGTGATTTGGGCGACTTCGAACTTCTGCCCTATCGCTTATCTTAGTGGGCGGGATTCATATGCAAATAAGAAGCAGATATCTATAGCTCTAAGTGTCTTCACGCTCCTACTTTAATTAATCTCGCAGTCACGACCAGGGTTGAGGAGTGGGCCGCCAAGGGCCGGTCCAAGACCAACGGAACACAGAAGGATTGGACGAAGATGAAGAACATTGGGCTGCGAGTCCAGGATCACATACATGATTAGTGGGAGTAGTTTCAGCACGGCGGGTTTTTCGCCATGCGGGGAGGGCTTGCCAGCTTGACGTTCCGCTTAGCGCCAACAGGGGGGGGGGCGCTTGTGCCACCCCACCAAAACCTGAACATCAACAACATCATTACAATACGCTCCTACGTGCTAGAAAGCTTCAAATAATTATAATACGTTATCAACAACCTTAAAAGTAATGTATAATACTCTCTACAAGGTAATATAGCCTTAGTTTTCAACGTGCGCACCCCAAAAATAGCCAGGAATCATAGAGTAAGTTGACCTCGTTATGAACGAGCTGTTTTCTTAAGTTATCACGGTCGCAAATCAGTATTACATCTCTTATCACTCTTATGAAGTCATTTCCATCAAGATATCAAGTAGAGGATTGTATTAGGCACCTTCAAGAGGTCTCCTTTTACAGTCGCATGCCCGTAGGCCTTCTCATTTAGGATGAGGAATAAAAAATTAAGAAATCAAAGAATTCTACAGAAGTCTTACCGTCTAAGACGAGCTTAAATCACACCAGATACCCCCATGGGTCCATCTTCGTTCTAGACGAAGCAGCTAGCAGCAGCTAGATCTCATCAGTCTCAATACCAGCATCAGGTCCATGAGCCTGGATGTCCCGCTGCACTTCAGTGATGCGCACGTTCCGATCAATCAACTATTACATACATAGTTAGCTTCGTCAATAACAAGAAATAGGGAAGACATACAGCATTTGGTGCGCGTGAGATACCAATCAGGCCGTCCAACAGCATATAGTTAGAAGGCCCTACGAACATGGAAGGCCATCACCTAAGAGACATTCGCTAGAGACGAAGCAAGAATACAGAATACAGAATACTGGAAGAAACTTTTACCGGAGGCTCCGAGGTACCAGGAAGAGGATCAGCCGGCCAGATATCCTTAGCTACAAGGTACTCCTTCACTATAGCCTCCTCCCAGGCGCAACTACAAGGAACAAGGTCAATTGGATCAAGACCAATAGGGAGCATGGTCAGATCAAGCACAGTACCAGGACCACGAGGCATGCCTGGCATAGCCTCCCGGCCACGGAAGCACTTGTAGCACTTTGGAACGCCATTTATCTGGCGCCAAAGCCGGGCTCGAATCTCCTCAATGCCAGTCGGGTTCTGAGGACGGGCAGAGCGATCCCAACGAGCAGTGTACCTGGCAATAGCCCTAGAAGATCGTTAGCAACGAAGCCAAAGGAAGGGAGGCAAGAGAACTTACTGTCGCTCGGCAGCCGTGGTCTGCGGGTTGGCGAGGACCCGGTTGCGGCGGGTTGTGATGTGCTGGTGGTAAGGAATGACATTGGGAGGCATTGTTGATGACGAAGACGGAGGGGAAGAGAGAGATTGAGTGATGATTGAGTGAAGAGCTCGGTTGTTGTTGACGAGCCAAAGAGATAGAAGGTTGATAAAGAAGGTTAATGAAGAATGATGGAGGAATAAAGCTCTGAGCCGGCGGAGGACTACTCTTTATACCCCGTTATCAACAAGCGCATACCACGCCTGTTGACGAGGCCTGTTAATAAGCGGTGCGACACCAGGTATTATCACATGTTTACAAAGAGCAGGCCAACATACGTTGGTAACGAGCCTCCTGATAGCCTCCTAACCATGCCGATTTGCAGAGAGCACGGCACTTGACAGAGAGCACACTGCTCTATGAGCTTACGATGCCAATACACGTCGCCAACGAGCCTTCTGACCATGTCGATTAATGGAGAGCACAGCACTTTACAGAGAGCACATGCTCTACAAGCTTATCTACGTTGCTAACGAGCCGCTCACAAGCCCTCATAACCACGGCACATCACGGAGAGCAAGGGATCTATCACCCCCCACCTGCACAGACGCAATCATACAGCAGCACGCGTTGGCAACGAGCCTCATGATCGCGGCACAACACGGAGAACAAGAGATCTATCACACCCACCCACACAGACGCAGTCATACAACAGCGCGCGTTGGCAACGAGCCTCATGATCGCGGCATAACACGGGGAACAAGAGATCTATCACCCCCCACTTGCACAGACGCAGTCATACAGCAGCACGCGTTGGCAACAACCTTATAATCGCGGCACATTATAGAGAACAAGATAGATCTATTACCCCCCAACCCACACAGACGCAGTCATACAGCAGCACGCGTTGGCGACGAGCCTCGTGATCGCAGCATACCATAGAGAACGAGCCAGTAAGCTTCCAGGAACCATTAGGGACGCTGAGGGACTGCTAGTGGCTACTAGGGAGCACGTAAAGGACACCGAGAACACTAGGGGACTGCTAGGGAGCACCTTAAGGATGCTGAGGACGCTAAGGGACTGCTAGGGAGCATGGTAAGATCATATTAAGAGCGCTGAGAGACTGCTAGGGAGCATGATGAGATTAGTAAAGAACTGCTAGAGATCACGTTAAGAACACTAAGGGGCTAATATAGAGGTGCTGGGGGATTGAGGATGTTGAAGTTAGTATATAGATGCTTTTAAGAATGTATAGATGCTCGTTAAGAACGAGGCATTTAGAAAGGCTATATATAGTGCTATGCCTTCGTTCCTAATGTAGTAGGGCTATATGCGAATTAAAAAGGATGTATATGAATCGGAAAGGCTGCGTGTAAGTACTATGCCTTCGTTCCTAATATAGTAGAGCTGCATGTAAAATAGAGAGGCTATGTAAAATGGACAAGCTATATAGCCTAGCCTACGGCCTCAAAAGCGGCGTGCCTTCGTTCCTAACGCAGCAATGCGTTAAGAACGAAGGCATAGGACTATGCGCAGTCGCAAGTCTTATTACATGCATAACATCCTCGTTCACGACGAAAGTTTAGGTTCATAAAGTCCTGCCGCTTATGAGTTGGCCTATCATTCCAACTAATAAGATACTTCACAATCGTTATAGACGAGAAGTTCTCTAACCAACCACCCAATCACAGATCTTTCTCAAGTCCCAGCGCCGCTCGCTGGAGAGCCACTGGCAGCCTCCGCGACGAAAGGAATGGCCAGAGAAAGCGCTTGGGTCGTAGCCAATATCAAGAAGGTGGTTTCGAAAGTTGGAGATGAACTGAGTAGATGTCTATCGTTGATGCACGTTACTCCGACTGTTAACACCATAATTACGGCGCTGATGCACGGTGGAGAACTTATGGCTCTTGATGTCATATACACTCTTCTCACGTGACGCCAAATTCGCCATTTGCGATCTCTTGGAGATCGCAAAGTGCCTATGATGAGTCATCACGCAAGCAGCGGACCACCTCCAATTCGCACGTTCCTCCAGTTCATACGATCCTCCAGTTCACACGACCCTCCAGTTCACACGACCCTCCAGTTCACACGATCCTCCAGTTCACACGATCCCCTAGTTCATAGTAGCACTCCACCTTCCTCATCGGAGTCGTCCTCAAAATCGTAAGGGTCAGGCTGCGAGTTCTTCAGTAATCTCGCCTGTTTGTCACAATGATCAGAGTCAGAACTCTCTATGCTGAAGTTCACCATATCCGCGCCGTCAAATAATGGTAGGGTAGAACCAAAATCTGTTATCGTCGTCGGTTCTTCTATTTCAACAGGGAAAGCATCAAAGACAACAGAACCTCCTACCGTAGGAAGTGGTGTCTTGGCCTCTCTAGTTAACCCGTGCCCTTGCTGGTGCAGAACTGACTCGGTGACTCCGGTGAGAGAATCCGGGTGCCAAGCTTGTGGCGGGATTTTCTCCTCTATCTGCTGTAGGGCCTCCTTTCGAATATCACAAGTCATCGAATTTAGAACATCTCTTTGGCGGTTCTGGCTGATGATATCGCACTCAGCGTCAAGATCAGGCGGTCGCCAGTTCAGATATATCTTGCGATGCGACGCCGGCTCCACAAAATGTCCTGGATGGTGCCGGAAGTAGAGCAGACAGCAAAAGCAAGCTGGCTTGCTGCAGGCAATATACCGATCACCGGCTGCAAAGGACAATTTGCCCACGTGGAACTGCTCCAGAACTTGGATCTCGGCGTGGACGCGCGTTGAGAAGTCTGTGTAGTTATCTAGGAAACGCCGAGATAGTTGGTATTTATCGTCCATCTCTGCAAGCGCTTGCTGATATCGGTTAAGGTCCGGGGAGTTCGCAGGTAGCATGCGGACCATAATGCTTTCTAGTCTCGTCTTTCCATCCGCTGGAGGTGACGCCGATTTTGGCGGTGTAGGAATACTGCGGACTTCAAAGTCATGGAGGAGCTCAGGAAGCCTTGATGCGCAAGAGAGAAGCGCCTTAGCCGCTCGAAAATGATGTCCGAGCCGTCCGATATAATGCCTTACTAACCCAAAGGTGTTGTGTATCGCGTCTTCGTTGCTTTTGTAATTGGGTTCTATACTCAGTCTCGCAAGTTTACGCATCGAGTCAGACTTCCGATTTTCGTACGCATCGAGTCAGACTTCCGATTTTCGTACGCAAAGTGGCACAGCTCCATAGGGCTCAGTGGGCATTCCCAAGTTCTTAGCCATTCAGCAAGACCAGCTACTAAACAAGGGATGTCAGCATCCTGAAAATGTATAGACGGCATAAACCTCTAAGCACGGCAACTAAACTTACCATCCTCTCGTTCTGTTTGAGCAAGATATGCGTGACATTTTCGCAATAACGGGCTGAGGTGCGATCTGTACTTCTTAATTCTTGGAGTTGCAAATCTTATACACTGTGCAGCTATATCGTTTACTCCTTCCAGTGTGACTAGAGTCGCCGTGATTGAGATGTCTCTCAGATTGGTCAGAAGTGACTCTAAAAATGGGACAATCTTCCTCCTCGGGCAAGAATTCGAGGCCACCCAGAAGACGTAATTTTGCGGCGTCGAATTTAATCCAATAGCGGTGACTGTGTCGCCACCTTTATCGTAGTCGCATGTATACGCCAGCTCGCTAAGGAACATCCGTCTTAAGTCTTTGAGTGGAAGTTGGGAGACATTCTCTCGGGTGGAAAGCTCGGCACATGTATGCTCCCCTCTCGTACTCCCTAGCGTATGCAGCAAGACGAGGGGCTCGTAGAAACGGCTTAGTTGGCGTCTGCGAGGGTCAAAGCGAGGCTGTGTTGGGGAGAGAGATCTCGGCTCGGTGAATGAGCTTGTGTTTACTGAATTCTTTCGTTTTTTCCCTTTAGTCACAACTAGGACAGCGTGGGAGAAGGGAGATTGCAAGCAAGACTAGTCGGGATAGATATATAGGGACAGTCACTGAAAGGCTCGTCTATCGTACGGCACTGAGAACCTTGTTCCTTTATCAAACCTTCTGACTTAAACTGAGCTTTTGGTGATCGATCTCCGCACGGCTTACATGACGTCAACAATTTGAATTAGCTTTCAACTTCGCGATAAGAGCGATGTGTACCGATGCGATTGGGCAACCGCCCGCAGCAATAATATCTTCGGGGAGTGGAGAAACACATGAAAGCAATACGGTTCACCCAATAAACCCAAGTTACGTAGCAGTTCTGCCGCATCCGGCCTCTGCGCTGTGCGGATTAACTAATTAGAGGTTGATGTGTTTGGAGTGAGCTGAAGCCAGTACAAGGTTAAGCGAACCCTCGAGTTTGCTGGTCCATGGCGGCGTTGTGTTCCCACTGCGGGGCGATCGATCATCGATCGATTTTCCAGGCCGGGGAGACTACGGTACGACCGGAGTCACTCGGCAAGCATTTAATTGGGGATTGTGTAGGCTAGGTGATTGCGAGAACTGGCTTACTGCACATGAAGGTCGACGCGCTCTGCTTAACTAATCAGTCGCACAGCCATGTTTTGTCCCTTCTCTTGCGCATCATCCTGCCTTGGACTCGAGTCTGATCCTCTCTGCTCGCCCCCTGCTCCGCTTTGCCAGCAAAAGCTTCCATCCCTCCTCGCCTCCTGCCATTATACTTCACCTAGCGCTGGCGTCTTGCTCGCTCACTCCTCACCAGCGTGGCTAGGCCGCAGTGTGCTGTCTATCCTGCTTGGCTCTCTCTTTCGGGTTGATCCGTCCTCTCTCTCACTCCGCAGCCTCATCAACCGCCTTGTTTGTCAGACTAGACTTACAACGCCTACTGATAGGCTGTTCACCGGAAAGACGGTACTTCCCCCGCTTCTTCTGCCAGATGCTGGGCTGACTTCTCCCCGTAGCCAACCTACAATACCCCCGCCAGATCTCTCGTCTGCGCCTCAACTTGTCTTCATTACCTCTCTGCAACCTCCGAGCTCTCTCCCACCCGCTCTTCTATCACTCTCGCCGACCTCGTATATAACGCTATGGTTTTCCCAACCCCTCCTGTAGATGCAGCCCCGTTGCGGCACCAGAAGTTTTTCGCCGTACGAACACGGTTCTTGGCCGCACCTTGCCGCTCACTAGTGATAGCAATGCCTTCGCCGACCTCGATATTCAGGATATGAAGATAATCACTTTCCGTAATCAAGCTGAGGTAGGCCGGCCCATGTTTGTCCTGGTTGGGTCATTGCTTACTGATTCTCGCTTCGGGTAGCTTGTGCGAGTGCGCCCAGATACGTTGACAGAGACGCTTGCATGGGCATCACATATCCCACCGGTATCCGGCTGTGTGAGCCCTAGGCGGGATGGAGACTTAGAGCGCGCTCATGCTGGCAGCACGACAATCCGAGCACGCATACGACGGCGGACACGGGCATGGGCTAGTTTGAAAATGATCGTGACCACGATCTCGAGCATGTCCTTCAGCACGAAAAGTGCGTACATCCCGGGTGCCCACGCCCAGGACGATCGCCAATGTCTCTACGCGAGCACGATATTAGATACGATTCGATCTGATTTTGAGAAATACCTAGCCCCGAACTGAGGAGTGTCACTTCACGACATAGCGCGATCTTTACGTATACACCAATTCTCTATTCTTTTTCCATCGGCGCAGAGCTTCACCCCGCTTTTCCCACTTCGACTGCGTTCACCCGCCCCGCAACTTCGAGAGGAACCGCACGGGCACGCGTATGTCATTGCCATCGAGAAGGCCGGCTCGGATAACAAGTTTTGGGGTCGATCAGGCGACACTTGCACAGCATGCTCCCACTAGTGGTGAATTCCAGCCTTGCGTGGCATAGGCCGGATGAGGATTCAGCAATGTGTCGCGAGGGACATGTGTGAGGCAATTTACGCATAATACAAAAGGAGCTAGCTGCACGTGTCTCACTTTTGCACGTAATGGAGTAATGTATCATAGGTTACTTAGCTCTCTAAAACGCCAAACGGCTTAGCGCTTATTAAACCGATTATGTGTTCTCGCCAATATCTTAGTCGTTCTAGTTACACCGCATCCACTTGACTGTAAGGCCAGCACCCCACCCAGATTTCACGCCGTTACTTTCGATCGCATTCCCTATCCGCGCCTAGCTAAATCACAACCGTCAGCTCAATTGCAAAGTGAGGCTATGTCATCTTCTTGCTGTCTCGCTCACCGATGTAAGAAGCCGGTGAGATGTACACCGGTCAGGCACCTATGAGTCAACAAGCAGCAACATCAGCAAGGCTGTGGCTGTATCGCAAGGCGTAAATACAGCCCATGGCGCTGTGCATGTTAAGAGCTTACTAACTTGCTGCAGGGCATGGGGCAGCATTCAGCTAGCGGTATCCGGTGAGCGTGTTGGAGATTGGAGCCCTTGGCATCAGCCCAAACTCCAACTATAAACGCCAGGCGCTCTTCTCTGATTTTTTTGTGGTATACCAGCTAGGCCAAGTCATTATATTAGAAACTAAACTTGTTTACGTTTTATTCCCTAAGCGCGCTGCTCTACTCTCTAATGACACGAAAATCAAGAATACTAGGAATGTTTGGACGCTCTCCCCGTCTCAGCGAAGATACACATCCTATGGCGCAGGCAGTTGAAGGCGTGCGCTTGCCAGGTAGTGTTACCCAAATCTTTCGTGCCCTGGCGTTAACAGTTCCCGGCAGATTCTACGCCAGATATCGACGTTTTGGACATGGAGCTTTTCACCAAAGGTAATCAGCTCCTATTTATTACGCTAGTGGAGTATCAAAAATAACCAGAAAATGGAATAGATTTCAACACGTGGTTTGGAAAAGCGGCCTTCCAGTACCATTTGAGTTTAGCTATTCAAAAGGAGCACTTGGGACATGCCGTTGTCAACCCAAAGGTAGCTTGTAGTGATGTCTTTTCCCCCTCTTAGTTTTAGAGACTGATCTTCTTTAGGACGTTTTTGAGCAAGTGGAAGCAAGATACTGGAAGGAGCCTACTCAAAACGGCGAAGGCAAAAGCGGCTTGCATTATCCTGGATTCGAGCTTTTCCGCTGCATCAATGCTGCTCGCGCCACTAAGGACGATAAGACGTTGCGGTTTTTCTTGGACCAGCTATCGTCTAATATTCTATCAAGCTGCAGAAGGCTACACCACGAGAAAACGGCAGAAATGGCAGCGGATACGCCATTTAGTCCGGGCCAGATTCACCGCGCCACAGCCCCGAGCTCTAGTATGGGCAGCAATTCATCCTTAGGCAGGGATAAAGCAACGGGTACTGCCATGAAGACAGGAAGCTCGCTGCAAGAGGATGTCGTCCAAAGCCAGGCCATTTTCGTACAGGGCCATCTTCCGCTATCGCAGCCACTTTGTTTAGAGTGCGAACGACCAGTGACGCGCCTTACCACGAGCCGTTACAATCGGAATGGTAACGCTCGTCGTCCGTACTTGAAATGTGTACCATGCGACAAGTTCCATTCCTTTGCGGACGAGCAAGGAAATAATCCTGAGAACCTTAGGTGTCATTGCGGCGAACCTAGTAGGAAGCAGGTTTCTGGGATTAAAACCCAATCGCAAAGAGGTTTACATTACGTTTGTAGCCTAGGGAACTGCGACTTTTATCGCGCGGCAATAGGGCCGAGTGGGCATCAGGTATTGTTGGACGAAAGACTCCCAAATCAAATGAGGACGCTTGGGTTGGTTTGAAGAACGATCTAGATGTAGTTTGGTTGTGCGACTCTCGCGAAATAGATATTAGGGTTCTTTCGGCTAGCTTTTTAAGTCGTGAAATGTTTAACCATGTGTCAAGAGGCTACGTAGAGAAATCACGTGACTGTAGCAACAACCCTGATTACCCAGAGGTTTGTTCGATACACATAGAACGGAAGGCTTCTGACTATATTGGAACTCTTCTATTTCCCTTCATCTAAAGCCAGTTTCGTCCCTCAACTTCTTGTCTTTCTCTCTTATGTGCTTGGCCCAATTAAAAGGTCCGAAGGCCTCTTGGGCTCCTATCATAGCGATACCATAGCGCATCTATGACGCCTCTTGGTTAGTGAATCGAGGCGTAGTTAAGACGAAGCCTACTTATAACTCTCCCACCAAGCGATGGAGGAAAGCAGGACATAAAAGGCCTCCATACTCCTCAATTAAGCTTACATAGGCACACTACTCTTCCTCCTTTCTATCAGACACCGAATTAGCAGCTGTATAAGGAGTCTCTTCGACAATGAGTGATTCAAATGCTACAATCGAAGATACTACATTATACCAGGCCGAGGTATATTCGAAATGTCAAATCCTTTGCAAGATACTGCTAATAGAAGCTAGGGTACACCGCTTGCTGCCAACTCTACAGGTTCCGATGAGGTTGTTGATACAGCAGGGCAGGTAAGTGATACTTGCTTCCCCGCTACGTGTTCATGGTTTACTGATATAAGCAGGATATACCAGAGCACGGGAACAATTTGGGGGAAATTAAGGCAGATGCGGAAAAAAGAGCCAGGAAGCTCTCACCCTGCTCTAATGAAATAAACATGCCGTCTCTATACAGTCAACTAGATAATCCTTTAAAATAAATCTTGTGCAGCTCTAACCTACCCTATTAGGGAAGATTAAGAGACCGGATGCCTTGGCTAATCAGCTTAGCTGCAGACTAAGCTGTCTTGAGGGGAAAGTTAGTAGCCTTGAAAAAGTTAATTAATTACTATAGTATGGCTCAGCTAGGGAAGTTTAATGATAGGACTGATAACCTGGAAGAGAATCGGGGAGATATAAGAGACATTATTAGGCTACTGCAAACCAAGATTGATAGCGTCAAGAAAGGGATTGATGAAATATCAGACCGCGGAGGTGAACGGGTGGGAAAGGCTGGAAAGAAGAATATAGCATCCGCAAGGAAAAGGGCACGTGAGGCTTGAAGCTGGACAAGTTTACAGAACTGAGGAGAAACGCGATGGTACTGGTACAAGCTGAGATCGTAAACCTGTATAGGGCCTTGCTTGCTCCATCAGAGTCTGCATCCACGATCAACTCCCGCAAGGGTACATGCTCTCGTCAAAGACAACCTCCTTCTGTACTACCAGGAGCTATGAATCATCTGCCCAGTTTTCTAGTCCGCAGGGACTTATTTTGTAGTCAACGCCGGCTTGATACCGCTTACATGCCAAACACCGCCCTGGCCAACAATCCAGAATTCATGGAAGCCAAATGCAAGGGATACAGCAACGTTTTTGCCGCCACCAACACGGATCGAGCCAAGAGCAAGCCCAGTCTCGGGATCAATGATGTCCACACCATGACCAGCGCCGCAAAATATCCAACCTTCATTGCTCACTCGGATGCCGTCGTAGAAATAGGTGATAGGGTTGTTAAGCAGGCGCTTGTTTGTAAGCGTTGGGCATTTAGCTCCGGATGAAGCTGTCGCGAAGTCATATGCCCAAAGCTCACGAGCTCCGTATGGGTTCTTCTTGACGGGGTAGTACTGGGAGACTCCAGTGTCAGGGAGGTACAAAGTGCGACCGTCAGGGGATATGGCAACTCCGTTTGCGTTTCCGGTCGTGGTTTGGAGGAGTTTTGGCCGCATTGTTGTGCCGTTGACGAAGTAAGTGGAGGGATTCTGGGGTGGTGTGAAAGGGACGATGCCTTTGCCCTGCAGGTATATTAACATTGTTTCAGGGGTTACGACCAAAAAACGAGGAAGTTACCCATCCAGACCTACTATCAGTAAGGTAGAAGTTGCTGTCAGGGTCTATGGCGAGATCATTGAACCCTCCGAACGGTTCTTCGTAGTAGTGGTTTATAAGAGTTGTTCTCTTCCATGTCTTTGGGTCGATCTTAGCCAGATATCCCGTCTCGTCCGGACCACCATCAGTAACAACGTAGATAAAGCCATTGAACGGAACACAGCCATGTACATTGATGGTGGGTGGGCTTGTGGTGATCTTCCGCAGCTCGTTCGTTTTAGTGTTTAGCAGGTACTGCCAGTCATGTACACCGTCGGTGTTATTGCCTGATGGGCCCCATTCAACAAAGAAAAGGTCGTTTGTTCCAGGCACCATGCATGGTGCCTCGTGACTCCGAAACGCTAGTGCTTGCACATGCTCGACCTTGGCCTGTGGTCCAACGATGTCGAAGAACTTTTCATCGTAGACGACGAAATCGGTTGAATTGAGCTTCTCGTTTCTGTGGACCAGTCAGTATGGCACACTGCTAATCAATGTTCGTCCTCACTCACAAGACTGCCAGTCGTTCGTCCGACACTTCCGCCTTAGCCGGTGCATCAAATACGGAACGGTTAAACTTGCCCGGCAACACAGCAAAGGAGAGATTCTCATATGAAAGCCAAGCCCATGACCTAACAGTGTTGTTACTGTAATTTTCAGGCAGGGCCTTCGAGAAATGCGAAGCTGAAGCATTTGACGCCGCCAAAGCTCCGAGTAGTATTGAGAATTTCGTCATTGGAACTGACTGGGACTGAGACTGCCAGAGGTTCCAGACCCATAATTCCACCCTTAACATGGTTCATATTCTCGTAGCGGAATCGAGACTCGTCATCGTTTGCTTACGGTCGGCCCTATTCCGTGGCGAGTGGCTAAGCTCCGGGAGCAGCCCACGGCCGTTTCCTGTAGGTGAGTACCACTAGACTGCGAGATGAGCTTCGTGAATTTGCATCGTCACTCATCTGAAAACCTGGGCTGAGTCAACGCTGGAATGCTGGGTAGGTACCACTCCAGTCTCGATCGACGTTCATAGTCACATGTGAAGGTATAGATCGCTCTAGATTTCTTATCTACATTTTAAAGCGCTACAAGAAGTGGTAGAAGAGTGTGCTCGGATATCTAACGAGGTGCTGTATCTGTTCGCGACCGTGGATTTTCATAATCGCTGACTTGATTCCTAAGCATTTGAATCTTTTCTTACTAAATCTGCGTCTCGTGGACGTAACGGGAACGATTACTATAAAAGATAGCCAGCACTCTTCTCATCATTCCAATTCTATCTGAATTTCCGCGTAGCCTCCATAAATTTCATCCCCCCCTTGATCTCCTTCGCCACATTCTCATCCGCCTCAACCTGTTTCCTCATCAGTGGCAATACCTCCTTTGCCAGCTCCTTCGGCAATACCACAACCCCATTTAGATCCCCAATTAAATAATCATCCGGCCGAATCTCGATATCTTGCTCGCTAGTTTGCAGCTTCACCGGCACATTCACACCAGCCACTTTGACGAGCTCGTATGGCGGTGCGGTGCTCAAGTCTCGTGCGAATACGGGATAGTTGAGTGCGCGCTGCTCGTGGAGGTCGCGGAAGCGTCCATCGATTATTGAGCCTACTGCTCCGCTGACCTGGGCGCGGGTGGACATTAGGCCACCGTAGACGGCGTTGGGGGTGTTTGGGGGGCAGGAGATGAAGATTATGGCGCCAGTGGGGATGGAGTCGATCTGAAGGGAGATAAGTTCGGATTTCAAATCAGGAGCTGAAAGGCTCCATGCAATGAAGCGGTATGCCAAAACACACAAGCCGATGCTCGGCCGTGTAAGTCAATCAAGGGAGGAAATGGAGCGTAGATGCTTACGTAGTGGGTAGGATGTTTAGGCGAAGGGTCATCCAATGGTACGTACTTCACTGTATACGCTGGACCGACAATTCTGGTCATCCCTTCTTGTCGTTGCGGAGACCATAAGGTCAAGCCCGAGAGGAAGCCGCCGTTGGGGACTTTGAGTTTGCATAGAGCGTCTGAAACATCACAGCTTGGCATGTTTACTTAGCACATTGTCCCGTTAAGGAGTATGATGGCTCACGTTGTGAATTGAAGTAGATCCTTCACAATGGGGTCCTGTCCAACAGCCATTCTTGTGGGAACCTGATCTGACTTCGCGTGGCTAAGACTGATTTTGGCGGAGAGAAATGGATAAATACGTAGCATGTATGCCTTTATATATCCTAACTGCAGCGTATACGGGAGAATACGGAAGGTGTTGCATACTTCAGCTTGAGCTTGCCCGGCGATAATAAGGATCAGGGGTTCAGGTGGTGCTGCCCCGGCGAGGCTCCGCGGTGACTTTCCGTGGCACAACGAAACGCGTGACTCTACCAAAAGCCATACACACTTTGAGCTTCCATCCGACCATAGTATTACTACCAAGCAAACCCAACATGCTGCCTGTTAATTCTACATTTGGAACCACCATCAGCCATCACAATGTCCGAAACCGCCACCATTCGAGTAACGCCCGCCTCTGCACACTCCCTCACAACCGCCATCCTAACCCACTTCAACGTCCCCTCAGACCGCGCAGCCATGATCGCCGACTCCCTCGTCCTCGCCGACCTTCGCGGCGTCGACACCCACGGCATCAACCGCCTATCCGGCTACCTCGACCGCATCAAAGCCGGCGTTCTGGACCCCAATCCCTCTCTGTCCTTCATCCAAAAAACCCCCGTAATGGCGCATCTAGATGCCCGCAACACCTTCGGCTTCGTAGGTGCGTGCCTCGCCATCGACAAAGCCGTCGAAATGGCGTCGACCTACGGCCTTGGAGTAGTGGCGGTCAATCATAGCAATCATTACGGTATGGCAGGAACTTACCTCCTCCGCGCGGTTAATAAGGGATTCGCGGCGTTTGCATTTACGAATGCGTCGAGGAGTATGCCGGCGTGGGGGTCGAAGGAGCCGTTGTTTGGGACGAGTCCGTTTGCGGTTGGGGTGCCGGGGGGTAAGCTGGGTGACTTTATCTTGGATATGTCACCTAGCGTGGCTGCGAGGGGGAAGATTCGGAAAGCAGCTAGGAGGGGTGAGCGTATACCTGAGTGGTATGCGTTGGATGCTGAAGGGCGGTCGACGACGGATCCTGAAGCTGCACTGAAAGGGGTGGTACTGCCGATTGGAGGTCCAAAGGGGAGCGGACTTGCTATGATGATGGATATCTTCGGGGGCGTGCTCTCCGGAGCAGCGTTTGCGGGTGGCGTCAATGATCAGTATAAGAATCTGAAAGATCCTCAGAACGTTGGACACTGGTTTTTTGTCTTTCGACCGGATATCTTCTTAGAGGGCGGGAAGGAGGAGTTGAGGACTCGGATGGATGTGTTGGTGACGAAGGTTCAGGAGTCCGAAAAGGCTGCTGGGGTTGAGCGAATATTCACGAGCGGCGAGATTGAGGCCGAGATGGAGAAGGAAAGGCGACAGAAAGGGATTCCCTTCACTCAGGGCGAAGTGGATTCTTTGCACGCTTTAGCGGATGAAGTTGGCGTAGATGTTCGCTTGAATACGATTGAAAAGTTGAAAGAATAGTAAAATGGAATCTTTAAGAGTTTCTCTCTACAGGCTTTCGTATGCAACCTTTTCTGGTCGCTCCATGCGCTCTGCAGAGTACGGAGTTGGCTTTTTGATCGCCATAGTATTACACTGAGGTCCACGGAGAGTGCCTTGCATGTACAGTAAAAGATGAGTGATTATATCTAGCATAGTAGTCCCTTTTCGACGCATTGTGAAACTTAGCAGCCTCATAGTATCATTCAAACTTTACAGACGCTCGTAAAATATTCTCAGATCTCGTGGGTTTACTCTTGCTTATACATGTGAAAGCATTGGCGCAGTAAATCGAATGAACTTACACACCCTCAAGGCACTACCCAAAGTATTCTCTAGTTACTAACCTTCAGGGCTTCTTTTTTGACGTTTAACTTTCAAGTAATAAACCTGAAATGCGGACTATCATCCGCCAACTCCGTAACATCAATCGAAATCCCCGGCTCTGGCTTCCCATACTTCTTGTCTCTGTGACTATTGACCGCTTTCAATGCGAAACTGTTGATCAGAGCGAATGAAGCCGTCGCAATAGCCAACCCCATACAAACGGCATGCCCCTTCCGAAACTGCGGCGCATCGGTCGTCGGATAAAACCATGTGCCCGCAATTGATCCGAGATTCCCGAGCGCTGTATACAATCCCATACCCACAGCTCGCTTTGTCTCATTGCCGAAGTTGTTAGCGGCCCACGCATGAGAAGGGGAGTATGTGGCGTAGACGCAGGCTACAGCGATGCAGATGCAGGCGTATTTGCCGTGGAGCTGGGACTCGGGTAGGAATGCGAGGAGCGCGTATGCGATTGCGGTGACGGTTGCAAGGGCGGCGCAGTGGAAGCCGCGCTCGCGATAATGGTCAGAGGACCAGGCGAAGATGTACATTAGGACGAAGGCGCAGGCGTAAGGAGGGACGGTCATGAGATTTGCTTTTGTGGGTTCGTGGTAGCCTAGGTCTGATTCCAGGTTGTGAGTGCGGCTGAAGAGGAGTAATACGGCGATCCAACGTACCTCGAACGACCGTAGGCAGGAATCCCGAGATCGAAGACAGCATCCCAGCAGTGGGGAGATAGACCGCAACTTGTAAATAGAGCCGCCAATCGGTCACTGGCAAGAGGATGTGCTTCAGCTGGATCTTGCCAGCTACATCGAATGACTCGCTGTGGTAACGAGCTTCCGCAATCTCTTGATATCGGCCAGAGAACCGCGAGTTCTTGGATGGTCGATCGGGTATCCACCATAGACAAAGTATGCCGAGGCAGAGGCCAGGCACGCCCTCGATCAAGAAAAGCCACTTCCATATCGGCGTTTCACTGTCGATGTGGCCAATTCCGTAAGCCATGAGGCCACCAAATGCGCTGGGAGCATTAGTTAGCGTCTTTTTCGATCGAGTCGGAGGGATTCTGAGCACCCTGCAATAGCGGTGGGACCAAGGAACCAGAAGACGCGAACGCCCATCTCTGAACGATGATACCAGAGCGAGAGGTAATAGACAATTCCAGTGCCGAAGAGCCCCTCGAAGATGCCTAGAAATAATCGGCATACGAGTGCTCCTGCATAGTTGTAGGCGACGCACTGGAGTAGGCTGGCTGTGCACCATCCACAGATGCCGAAAGCCATCCACTATTTCTTCTTAGTCCACGAAAACGGTTGTCCATAATAGAACGCTCTTACCTTGGACGGTGGGAAGACTCGATATCCAATGCATCCAGGCACCTGAAAAAGAACAAGCCCAACATAGAATATCATGACGGTAAGTTGCCATTGGGTTGGAGTCAAAGACTTAGTGCCAGGACCAATTCCCTCACTGACCGTCGAATGCCCATCATCGAACCCGTAGAGCTTCGCGTTCTATCATTGCATGTCAGCCCAAATTCACAGCTTCAGAGAGAGCCATGACAGATAACTTACACCAATATTACCGCGGTCAAGATACTCGAAGAAATAAAGCAGCGAGATCATTGGCAGGATAATGAAGTCCAACTTCCGCAAGTATCGCTTCTGTTGGATGGCCCACTCTGGATCCTCGAGATTGCGAGATTTCTTTTGAACATCGTCTGGTGCGTAGTCGGTGGGTGCGTTCTCATGGCGCGTTGAGATATCTATATCAAAACTTCTCCTCTCATTTGAGGGTTTGTAGTCGATATTCATCGTGTCGTTCTACAAGGATCTTCACAGCCGCTGAGGTATGTCTTGAATAATTGAAGTAGATGAGTTTGAATCAGTCGGTGCCCATATGGAAATGTTGCGCTGTTTAAGTGCATCCAAAGATGCCACTCTCAGCTGGGGTGTGGAGAACCCGGAACGAATCGAACGACTCTGCCGCTAGCTAAGGCACTACTAAGTACCTAATTGGCTTGGCGGCTTCTTCTAGATTTGCGGGGTTGGGATGCTTTCGCGGCCAAACTCTATGGGTCATAGCTCAAGTGTTCGTGTGGTGGTAGGCTGGTCAAGTTCCCCCGCGAGTCTCCGTGGAAAGATTCCGGGCCGCTCGCCGCTCCGGAGAACAGCCATGGCAAACATTTTCCTCAAATTTTAATTCGGAAGATCGAGCAGGACTTCCGATGAACTTAGAGCGTCGGTGAAAAAAGACTCGATTGAAGTTGACCTTGTGAAATTATCACTCCCGTTACTGTGTCTTGGCGCATTTTGCACCACGAATTCTCCTGCAAAATGAGTTTGATGTCAAAAGATGAACTCCCCGAGGGCTCCTGGGATAGTCATGTTCACGTTGTAGATGAGGTAAGAGAAGTGCACCTACGAAGAATCCTAAGTTATGAGCTGACCGGTACTGTAGGCTAGGTTTCCTCTGCACGAGCTGCATCCATATCGACCGCAGAAAGCCGATCTCGACGATTTCCTACGCTTCGAATCCAGCCAAGGCATCTCCCACGTCTGCCTCGTCGCATTCTCAGTCTACCACACCGACAACTCCTCCATCATCGACGCTCTAACAAGGCTAGGGGGCAAGGGCCGCGCCGTAGTCTGCATAGACCCAGAAAGCATCACAGACGAAGAGCTGCAGCGACTGCATCAATTCGGTGCTCGAGGTGTTCGCTTGAATCTGAGGACAAGGGGCGAGCGCGTGGATACGCATGTGTTCGAAAGTCTATTGAGGCAGTATGCAAAGAGGCTTCGTCCGTTCGGTTGGGCAATCCAGCTATACGTGGCCTTGGATCAGATTGATCAGGTAGCGGATGTGATACCAACTCTTGGCCTTCCTGTAGTGATTGATCATATCGGGTTCCCGGATTCCAAGAAAGGGCCCGCTGCCTCGCAACTAGGCTATGAAGCGTTCATGACGCTTCTGAAGTCGGGAAATGTGTGGACGAAGCTGAGCGCTGTGTATAGGTTTGATGATTTGCCGGATCTTGATGAGTATGCGACGGAGATCTTGCGAACGGCTCCAAATAGGGTTGTCTGGGCGAGCGATTGGCCACATAGTGGAGGTGCAGAAGCTAACCCAGGCGGCAACCGAGATGCTGTACAAGAGTATCGCAAGGTTGATGATCATGCTTGGATTGCTAGATGCAAAGCTTGGTGTCGGAAGGTTGAAGGTGGGAGCGGCGAGAATTTGATACGGAAGATTTGGAGAGACAATCCGAGAGCGCTATGGCAGTATAATGAGGATGTGCGCCATACCAGCTTATTCAATGAAAGCAGGCTTTGAAGTCCGATGAAAGCTCTCGAGCCGTTTACTTAGTCCTTTACCCCACAAGACTCTTCACAATCAACTTAAAAGCTGGTGGTGTCGAAAATGAAACACTTGCAATCGTTTTAGTAGTAAACCTCGTAAGAGGATCAGACCTTAGGGAGGCCAGAACCAATCTCCAACTGCGTTTTCCATGTGGTATTCCGGGAAACAATCCAAGAGAGAAAAGGAATCCACGTTCATAGTGCTTGAGTTCGCCATGTTGCCGTAGTCTACAAGTGGATCGCAATAAGGAAAAGCAGGTAGGAAGTGTCCAAAAGTGAGATTTTCACTAGTGCTCAAAGCACCAGCGCCTGAAAGGTCCGTGTTGGAACTGTCAGACTTGAGGCTATTCGTGAGAATATCAATACTTCGCTGGACTAGCGGACAAGAAGTGATGCCCTGCTCCAGTGCTCGTAGAAAGGTCTGCATCTTCGTTGCAGCTTCGAGATCTCCTAGTTTAACGTCTTGGACCATGACTGTTGCTCCCGTATAAATGCAATATGCCATGATGTATGTCATTCTTGTGCAGCCAAAGGTTTTCTCGAGCAGCAATAATAGCTTCTCGAGGTAGTCTGAGGACGTCCGGCATTCCAGTCGGTGAGCTGGAGCGGAGTAGTAGGGCCGATGCAAAAGGATAACAGTTGTATAGTACAACATGCTAAGGCGATTCAGCATTTATCTGCATTGGGAGCGAAAGGAAACCAACTTTTGCGTCAATATCTGTGGAGGCGGCGAGATTTCTGGCAAGTTTTCTGGGTCATATTTCAGGTGCTTTGGTGAAAATTCTCTCCATTGATTTAATCTGTTCTTGATATCTTTCAGAGTTTGGTCTGTTTCGGCATTTGAGGTTCGGGAATATAGCCGCAGCATTATATCGTTTATAATTACGGCCAACTTGCAGTAGTTCTCGAAGCAAGTGATGGCGTGTGCCTTCATTGCTGGATATTCGCCTGGTTTTAGGTTGCTGAGATTCACGGATTCGCCATGATGTGGAGACCAAAGTTCATGTTCGGCAAAATCATCCACTGTCTGCTATCAGCGGAGTACTCTGCTATCATACGTGAAAACCTACGAAAGTTGGGGGTGCTATCGAGAGGGAAATCCGTGAGAGCGGGCATCCGCCCAAGGTAGAGACTAATGGCTCTAGTAGACTTGGTTAGTCTTAGCTCATGCTTGATTCAGATCTCCAGCATACTTATCCCAAAAGTACCCGCTCCAGAATAGTCTTTTACTCAGGTTGCAGCACTACAACCTAGGATCAACAACTCATATGCCAGAAAGCTACTCTCCGAACATCAGCTGTAGAGAACCCAGCTGAAGCCTCAGCTGTGCAGGGCTCATCTGAACTTACTAGCGCGCCACCCTGGGGGTGGCCCCTTTCCTTCCTCTAGTATATATACAATTCGCTAGACACCGATAGAAATCAGAGTCAATTTCAACCTGAGTCTTTTCCGAATCTCAAGATCTTCGGTGGTCAACTGTCCTAGACTTTGGATTTGTCCCCCGCTATGGTGCAGCCCAAGGTCGCTGACCATCCGAAACGCCATCCCGCTGTAAAGCCATGCCTGAGAAATTTGACCGAAAGCCAATTCTCGGGCGCTAAGTTGTAGTAGTGCCTGTACTGTGGGGATAGAACTTGGCTTGAGGATCTCAGTACCGAGCAGCAGGCGCGCTCGTGATATTAGATGCTCGCCTAATCTTCCTTCTCCAAATCGTGAAGCATGTGCGCATAAGACAACAAGGAGAAATTGAGAGTAGTATTGTCCACCCGTCATCATATCGCCTAATCCAAGTTGAACGGTGATGATTGAAATGTCTGGGTGATTGCTGGCAACTTACGCATGAAAGCTGGGCGATAAACCCACATGAACGTAGGTGAAATCCACGCCCAGTATATCTGAAGGTGTTTTGAGATGACCTCGCGTGGAATGTCACTCTGAATAGCGGCGTTTCCGAAAGCGAATTGCTCCCATGCCCTGCACTCCAGCGCGTTCGAAGGAAGCAATTCACGACCCGAACGGTTTGAATTGTAATCTGCCCCATGAACATCGTGCGTTAGTAAAGCTGGTGGTGGATCATGGACAGAAGATGTAGGACCAAAGTAGCAAAGCTTTCCACTTTCATCCAAGCTTAGGTCGGAGCGCAGCTTGTCCGTTCTTGATCCTTGACTAGAAGCATCCCACGAGGCGGAGTCTGTAATTCTTACGGACGGCTCGGGCGGTACTGTGGATTTTGTCGAACCAGGGCTGGCTAAGTCGGAGCTTTCAGATGGAATGGCGTCGTTGGAACTGAGAGCCTTCCTCAACTCCTGGATGGTGGCTTCCGCGTCCTGCAGTTTTTGAGCCATTCCAAGGACCTGGGACATGGGCGGTAACTTTCCATAGTGACATTCATCTTGGTAGATTTCGCAGGTCTTACAACCTGGTTGGGCGCCGTCGCAACGAGTCTGACATGTTAGTCAGAGCTGTCATAGATAACGAAGTTGACCATATCCACCTTTCTAGTCCGACAATTGGAGCATGTCAAGCCTCGATTTGCTCGGCTCCTGCGCTCTGTGCCCAATCCAGATGGAGTCAAAGAGATCCGCGAGGCCTTGGATTTTACTGATAACCGATGTTTTGAACCGGAGGAAGCAGGCATCTTTGTGGTCCAGACACTTGAAGGAAAGCAATGGATTGAGAAACAACAGACCGGGGTGGGCAAAGAAAGGTGAAAAGTACTTTGAAAACTCCAAGTTTTAAATCCGGGGAGAGGAACGAAGACTGCCCCCAACACACGTGACCATTTGCCGAGGTGAGGGGTAGAAGAGCGGACTGATCCCTTGTGGCAACCAACTGGCTGTTACTGTTGAGCTAGTCCAATATGAGATTAGTGGGGGCATCCAAAGAAAAAATCTCTCTGCGGATGCCCCGCCGGTGGAAAAAAAAAACTTCCTTCTCTACATAAAGTAGGGAATCTGATCTCGGAGTTACTTGTAACGTATTCCTTACACATCAGGGAATAGTTCCCTGCGGATTTCATGCGGTTCGCCGCAGTTCGCCGCGAACGGCGCGGTTTGCGCCAGCTAGTCTATGGCGTATGGTCTTGATTCCTTTGCGGCGAACTGGGGCGAACTGGGGCAAACTGCTGCAAACTGCTGCAAACTGCTATAAGTAATATTTTTCTGTAGGTATAATATTTATAAAATAAATAAATTATACTTAAGTATATTTAAATTAGTTCTAAGATAAATATTAAGGCTATACTATATAATATAAAATTAAGAAATAAGTATTATATAAAAATCTAAGGTTTACTAGGTTATTTTAAATAATATTAGTAATTTGTAAAAGCCCTATAACGTATTCCACCACCGAGCCGGCCAAACCACCGAGCCGGCCACTTTTCCTTGGCACAACCAACACCATGTGCGCGCAGTTAATTTATTCGCAACTAGCTATAGAACTTGTGTACGACACACTTAGATCAGATTTAGAAGAAGCTTCTTAATCCTTTTTACACGTACGCGCATTGTGCCCAGCCTCTCCACAGTTTCCACAGCGCCGTTGAGCTGGTAGAGCCCTATTTGCACCATCTCTACTACCTACCTTTTTCCGTGGATTAGATGCTCCAGACACTTTAGCAGCTACGTACAACGCTGCTGTACCATACTCCATTGTACCGCCAGTCTGGATTCGCTTTCTTTTATAACCTTTACGCTTGGTTATCTCTGCTAGTTGCTCTTTAAGCTCTTTAACCCGGGCTTTAATAAGCATATTTTTGTGTAGCATCTCTTTAGCTCCTTTAATAAGCTTTAAGAAGCCTTCTTAGGCAGTTATTAGTAACTGTACAAAGGAATTACTTACTAGCCTTAACTATAATCTAAATTTGTACGTATTGCTTAGGGTCTTTAATTGCTATAGTATTTCTAGTAGGGGTGCTGGTGGTAGGGTCTGTAACTGTATATTAAGGCGATTAAGAACTACCTGCGTGTTAATAGGAACTAATCTAGAGGCCTTAAAGGCCTTCTTGCAGTTCTTATACGTAAATATATTAAAAAACGCGTTTTTAAAGGCTGGTAGGAAGCCTTCTTTATTAATACAGTAGACGCGTCGGCGTGCTAAGTCTTATATGCGTTAAGAGTACTTTAGCTTTAATAGTAAGAAGCACACTATATTAAGTAGCTAAAGTATATACAATAAATGCGCAGGCATACAGAGGGTAAGGATTTGTTATTTAACGCAATAATCCTTAAAATCTTGGTTAAAGTGGCTCTTATAGCCGTCTAATATTAGCAACCTGTATAACCCTACCTAACGCGCCTTTATATACGTGTTAAAGTGCTTTAACTACTTAAGACTAAGCTTATTATTAGTCTAGCTGTTTTTAGAGATAGAGAGCTTCTAATTATACAGTATTTCTGCTTCTTTATACTATATAGAGATATAAACGCGTCCTTTATAGATAATAAATAGTAGGGTTATATATCTAGCAGCGCAGATGCTCTAGATAACTGTAACCTACTCTCGGTTGCCTAGTTAAATAAGATTAGGCCTTATACATCTCTCTAAACCTGTAACAACCTTTATTATGCTAATTATACCTATTTAAAAGCCAGTCTTGTCAAAGTTGTAGATATTATCTAGGTGGACGCTATACTTAGCTATAGTCTCTTGCACGAGAGTAAACCACGTGTTGATAACCTCTGGGTTTTCCTGGAGTATCCTCTGGCGGTCCTTTGCCCGATTAAAAGCTATTTTAAGCTCCTTTATATAAGATATAAACTGTTAAGTCCAGTTCTTGCCCACTGGTGTCCCACTACGCGCAGCCAGTACTTTATCTGCTATATCTGCCACCTTATATAACCGGGGCGCAAATCCTCGCGAGTTTAGGTTAAGGATATATTGTATAATTATGTGCTCTTCGGTTGCAGTGAGCTTTAGGCAGTTTGGTCGTGATTGAGGTCGAAACGTGATTCCGTGGAGCCGATTAGAGAGCCGCTAATGTCGTACGTTGAAGGCTGCTGCAGCGCGTCGTATGGTCCTAAATTGACCAGAGGTAAAGGCTTGAAGCGCGAGATTAATACTGCCTTCTTGCTGAGATAGATAATCGCTGCGTTGTTGATGCATTGCTGTGTGAATATGGTGTTGGTTGTGCCAAGGAAAAGTGGCCGGCTCGGTGGTTTGGCCGGCTTGGTGGTGGAATACGTTATAAATATAGTATTAGCAAGATATTTTACTAGAATAGGAACTTTACTATTTATATTAGTAAATATGTATAAAATATTAAGTAGTAGTAGAATTGCATAATATTATAAAATTTTAGTTTTACTACTAAAATCCGCAACTTATTGCTAGAAACTACTAGAAACCGCAAGAAACTGCTAGAAACTGCTTAAACTGCAGTAACTTAAATTCCTCTGCCGGGAACTATTTCCCTGATATATACGATTTCTTAGAGGTATTAGAGAGAGGAGTTGCTTAGCAATAGTAAGTTAAGGCCCTTTATCTTGCTTCGGGGTATATTAAATTAGTTCGATGTTTTTCCCAGTAGCTCTATCCACAGCAGCCGATAACAATATTGCAATCAACTGGATCTGTTCTGCTGGCTTGTTCCCACAGGTTAGGTAGAGGCGTCCGTTATTGCTAATATGTGGGTTTAGTGCGTATAATATAAGGATAGAGAAATAGTTCCGTCGATAGCATATCCAAACTCTGTTGTTGGAGAAGAAGTTCTTTTCGATTTTGGCCTCAATGTAAGGGACAATGGTCTGGCCATTGCAAGTAATGTCAGTATAGTTCTCCTGTTGGTTGAAAGGGGGAGTATTACTTAGGACCTGTGAGTTGCTTAAGTAGTTCAGCATTGTCCCTGCACTACTGTACGAGGAGGCTGACGGAGCTCGTGAAATAGAATCGAGGTGCCCATGAAGCGAGAGAGCAGAGTGCCTGTGAAGACCAGGCGTGGATATAGTGTAGTTATCTCTAGTAGATGCTTCCAGGGATGGTGACACTGGATTGACAATCCCTGGTAATCGTGCAGGAGGTAACATGCCCGGTATCGAATGGTCCGTTCTAGTCTGCTGTCAGCTGTCAGCTGTCATGCATCAAAACTCAGGTTGGACGGGACGAAAAGGCTATCGAGCGTCAAGGCTACTTACATAGACGACATCCTTGGGCGCATATTCATGTTGCCCAACTGCTGGTAGTTTGGAAAATACTAGTTCGTAGTCGAGCATGAGTTTGCCAGGCTGGGGGTGTGATATCCGACGCTGGGTGCCAAAAAGGACGAGAAGGCCAGCGAGGATGCGTTTGAGCTCGATATAGAGCCTGAGCCGGAGTCGGAGAATCTAGTGCCGGTTTGGTGCCTATAGTAGGCCTGTTAGCCACGTCCTCTAGGCGTGCATTCGGAAGTAATGCCAGGAGGAGGCTATGGGGCGGCACGGCAAGGCAACGCTGTCGCACTTGGCAGGCTGCAAGGCCGGGGGCAGGCTGGAGGGTCCAATGGAGAGAATAGCAACGTATTGTGCTTCATGTGGTCGATGGGGCATGTAACGCAGCCCATTGCTGCCGCCGATAGAGTACAGCGAGGACGGCAAAGCTGTGGTGTACATGAGAGCCGATATGCTCGACGCTGGTGAACTCCTGCTCCGACGAGAAGGGGTAGTCAGACGCTAGGGGCAGCGGTTGGATGACTGCGGGCCAATTAGCCAATCACCCCGCGGAGGGGGGTTGGCGTGCAAGAGCGCACTACATGAGGTCGCAGCCGCGGCGGCCAGCGAGATATAGAAAAATCGCAGCAGGCGTGGAGGGGAGTAGTGGGCACTAGACAGGGCGAAGACAGGGCGATAGGGAGAGGAGGTGCGGAGAGGAATTGAGTGGTTTAACCCCAACAGTGCGAGGGGTTTAAGGCTGATTTACCTTGATTCATCACTGGAGATGCGCTGCTCACTCTCTACTCTTTGCTCGCTCCTGTTGGCCGTCTAGCCGCTCGATCTCGTCTGCGATGGCAGCAGGCATCGGGCTGGATTTGGGGTAACGTAATTCACAAGTGAGCTGGCCACCCAAGCGAGCTGGCCACCCAAGCGAGCTGGCCACCCCATCATTGGTACAATTTGGACGCTTTAGAACCCCAGCAATCTCAACAACCACAAAATATTTCAGGCTGTGACTTGGAATGATAATATGCGTGGCTATTTTAAGAATGTATGTTCATTTTTTAGTTCTCTTAAGAACCCTGTTTAGCCGTAGCAAAGTTTTGGTTAGTTTTGGCTCCTAAAATTAGGTAATACCTAAAATCTAATTGAATAATCCCTCTACATTGCTCTAAACTTTCTCTTAGCTATTAGGAAGAGCTAGATAGTATGTACAACCTTAGAACTGTACTTTATATTTTATGGCTGTCAAGATTGCTAGGGTTCTAAAACGTCCAAATTGTACCAATGATGGGGTGGCCAGCTCGCTGTAACGGGGTCGTCTCTTCTATACTTTCCAAGTACGCTCACTTAGGCAAAGGATAGGTCAAGTCGTCGTCGGGGTGCGATAGTTTTCAGAAGGAAAGGCAAATCAATCTAAGGCATAAGACGGGTTATTTCCAATAGGTAGTATTGAAGTCTTGAGTTGAACACGAGGTTCCTAACTACCGAGAATGAGTGTGCTTAAATACAAAAGACAACTCCTAAGAAACCTATGACTCGTTCCTGCTCGTTTGATTCTCAACGAGCACGCTCGTCCTTGCTCGTTCGATTTCCAACGAGCACTCACGTGACCTCCTGCCTCGTGACCTCGTAGCTAGCCAGGGGAGTCCAGCACTCCGAGGCGCTGTACCCTCGTACCCCTGGGTCCTGTATGCAGATTACGTGTAACCAATCTGATCTGCTTACTTGCTTCCTCGAATACCTCAGTAATCGAGCCCTTCGTGTTGAGTGCCTCGCTCGACACTTCAGCGAGCTAAGTTAGATAAGTTTAACTTACCAATCATAAATAACTAGCATGACGACTAATTGTTTAGTCACATGCTCCTTCTGCTGCCTAGTTAGCGAGCGAACTTTGATCACTCAATCTTTGTGCATTCTACCCGTTGTCCATCTCAATTCGCACCATAGCCGAATTTCTCACTGTTCCACTCTCCATGTCCATACTCCCTTAGGTCAGATGAGCCTAGCATTTGGGGTATGTGGTGGACCGACTTGCCCATCAATAGCATCGCGAAGGTAAGCTCCGTGTTGGTCCCCGATCACATGCCTGAAGTACCGATATTGGAGACCAGTATGGCCAATCTGGCCAATCTGGCGTCGACGTACAGGAATCAAGGCCAATAGGACGCAGCAGAAGAACGAACACTGGATTGATATCGTTGGTCCGCCGACACGAGACGGGCTTTTGGCCACGTCAGTCTTGCTTGCATGCTTTCTGTTTGGAGATGCTTGACTCACCATGGTGACAGAGGAGAGCACGCCGAGTGGCAGAAACCCATTCCCTAATGTACCGTCTCACTAAATAACTTCTGTACACGGCATTGTTGTCGGAGCAAGCTTGCATGCGCGATTTCTTGTATTGGAGGTTGCCTTTAGCCACTCTAGGTCCACCATGTTATAAACAACTAGAACCCGAGGAATTGGCTTGGCATGCGTGCCGGATCGACAAGAGATCGTTCTAGATTTGTGAACAAAGACGATTCGACGGAGGTGCTGCGGCTGACTCGCCATATGGCTTAGCAACATTGATCAATCAAGACTTTGTCCGATGATGTCCGATCCATACTTGTACTTCATATGAAACAGTATCACATATCGAAAAGTAAGCCCTACATCCTATCATTCTCTCTCATCGGCCGGTCAGTCGTCGAGGGAATTGGTCTCCACATTTCCGGTGTGCCAACGATGTCCGATTAGTTACTTGCTTCCGCGAATACCTCAGTATACGCGTCTTGTGTGTTATGGGTTGTGACACGTCGCTAGCAGTCCATTGGGGATGAATCGATCGGCGACATTGCATGTAAGTTAATCCTGGACTTACGCGATGAGGGCCAAGTAGATGCCACCTGCTACAGGAGAAGAGGAAGTGCGGTATTGATCCTGTGTGCCCGCAGTCGCATGCCGCCGTCTCACATGCCTTAATCTTGTAGAGGTATTCCTTGAGGAACGTCTTGCCTGTCCGCAGCTGCGTGAGGATCGCTGCCTCCACACTGTTCAGCTGCTGGTACAACTCCGCCGACCTGCCTAAGTGCAGTGCTGCGTCAATCCTCCTTGTGAACTCGCCCGTCTCCGCCCGTCTAGATGAAATAAATCCTGCTGCGATATTGGCTCTCTTCAGCGCAAGTCGTAGCAGATACCATGGTATGCCATCCCGCTGCGGCGGCTCGGCGCTTTCTTCTCTCGTTGCCGCCTTCGCCAGCTTGTCTGCTTCCTCGTTTCCCTTAAACCCAGCATGACCAGGGATCCAGTACAGCGTGACATTGGTCATGTGGAGCTTCTTGATGATGCCCGTTACCACTCGTCCTCTAACTCCGTATTGACTGCAGTGCCGACTGAGCGTCCGAAAATATCCGTATGCTAGGTGCTGGTGCTGGAGCGCCATCCCTATCGCGCGCCATACATGACAGGCCCCACGGCCAGTTGGATGCCTCGCTAATCGCCAGGAGTTCGGTGAGGCGGGTGTCCACCTGATCTGAACTTGCCACCGTCTTCGCAATGCGCGCTCGGGACGGCATTGCGTATACGCCAATCCCCGTCTTGCCCTTGCGCACCGATGCATCCACGTATATATCCACCTGTCCTGGCTTGTACTCCTCTACAATGGCTCGAGCTTGCTCCTCGTCTTCGTAGATCACGACCTTAGGTCGGGCTACCCACGGCGGGCATGCGTATGCTTTGACCTCTAGCACAGCATCGACTTGGACGTCTTCACACATCTCCATCTCCGCGATTTTCATGAGCGGCGACCGGTGCTTCGTGCACAGCCGTTGCCGTTTGATCCCAGATATTGTCAAAGGGATGTGCGGGTCGGCCGCCCTCCCTGCTTGTGGTGGCAACCTCTAGTTGCTAAACCCTTGGATTTACCACTCGTAAGCATATTTACTGATTGCAATTAAAGTTGAACTAATGATGGATGGAAGAGAGCTGCTGCATCAGTCAAATGCACACATGATCCGATTAGACACATGATAAACATAATCAAAGCCTTTAGTTGGCTAGATCTGCGTAGTACACTTAATCTGACTATCCAAGCGCTTCCGCCGACCAGCTATCTGCAACTGAGAGGAAAGGAGGAGGAGGACCTGCAAGGGGGTACTGATAGCGTCGGAACCCATAGACAAGCTCCGTATATTCTTGCATTTCAATCTTCAGATGAGGACTTCTTCACATGCATAATGCATCACGATTGATGTATTTATTCAAGTTCAGCAACCTTCTATTTGGCTGCACTGTCTATTCTTGAAAACAACACTATCCAAAGATGAATTCTATTTGGCAGGATATCAAACTCTTCTTCGGAGATGGTTTCGTCGCTCGGTCTAGTCCAATCCAGTTCAACACACACTGCTGTAACTTGAAGCAACCCTCTACCCAAAACGACAATGTATATTACGGAGTGGAAATAAACGAGGACGCCATGCCATTATTTTCCGCCCTGGGCGACACATGTGCTCCATCTTGCTCATGCTTAGAGATCAAGGAATTCATCAAGCACATTGAGGATTTCATTCAAACAGCGTCAAGTACGCATGTCAACGACTATTCGCTTCATACTGGGAAAAACGACACATCCGTTGATGATACGTGTATGTACGCGATGCGTGACGCAATCCAGTGGTGGGTAAATTGACATGGATCCTTGGATGGCCACCACTGGAAACAAATGTACATTGCATTCTCCACGATACCCGACGACGTCATGATCCCTCCTCAACATCTGATCAACGGCTCGTTTCGTCTTCTTGGAAACCGCCTTTCAGACGTACTGGCCGGCCTACGATCGGAAAATGTCCATCCAGATGACATCCTATTTATGGAAAAGCGCCTGTGGCGTCAATATACCCTGCAATATCTAGAAAAAATCGATCCTGGACTACGCACTAGATTGCTCTCGAAGACCATCTTGATGACTCAGTTCAGAACCATCACCGCAAATACTCATGGCGCCGCTGTTGCTCTTTTGGCTGCTCGGCAGACTAAGTCTCTAGGAGTAGCAGATACCGCTGTGGAAATGGCTGCTATATGTGACGCCATATCCATGGATATGGCAAAAGAAGCTTTGGGCATCTTACAAGGAGAACCTACCGAAACAACAGCCAGAGATCGGAAACAGCTCGGACGCGAATTACGATGGCTATACGTCAGATGCCTAGAATCTCTCGATTCTCATTCCAGTGCGTCCCTACTAAGGCGATTCGCAACTTCCGGTCTGCACTTCGTTCCTCTCATGGACAGGTATCGCGAATGTTTGGAACACGTTCGCTTTCCAATAGCCACTCCTTTATGTCGCAGACTGGACACTTATATCGTTGCATGATGGAGCATAAGCTTGGGTGTGGTTTGGTTTGGTTTGATCGCTCTAGTGGTCATTGGCTTGCAAACCATGGCCTAGTCTGTCGGGTTTTTGGTGACATGAACAGGTGTACTCGGGTTGCAGCACTACAACCTAGGATCAACAACTCAGATGCTAGTAACGTACCAGGATAGCATGCTGATACAGGAGGAAGTAACAGGTAGTGCAACAGCAGTGCGGCAGCACGGTATCAGTTCTGCATCAAAAGGATGTAACCAGCAACGTATCAAGAGAGCTGCCACGGGGGTGGCCCCCCTTCCTTCCCCTAGTATATAAACAACGAGCTAGACACCTATAGAAATCAGAGTTCACATCAATTTTCAACCTGAGTGGTGTGCTGCTCGTATTTCCATTCGCATCCACATAAGTAATAGTAGCATGCTCGTAATTGTCAGCTGGACTGCTGTGAAATCTCTCCCTATCCGCCCCACGGACTAATTCGCGTTAATGAGCGCAAGCGAATTGGTCTGTGGGGCGGATATAGTAGTTTGAGCCTGCATGTACACGTGGGCACATTCGACCTTACTCTAAAATGGCCTGAGCGACAGCAGGTGCATTGGGCTTTTCAAGCTCCTGCACTCTTTCAATCACTTCCTCGGTCGCGTTGGCAGCTATCACGGTTATGTAAGTACGGGCTTCTCACTCTCTCTCCAGTACGCACAAGAACGAGATACTCTGTGTAGATTACGGCATTCTAAATTTAGCAACTTTTTATATAAAAGATCTCCCGATGCATAGAACTAGATTTACGCGAATAGATCAGGGCGCCACATGCCTTCGTAGCAGCCGGAGAGGCTTGCATGGAACGCTTATGGATACGCACTGTGAATAGCAGCGATTAGGAGTCAGCCTTACGGATCGCATAAGAAAGGGACGAGCTTAATTACCACCCCCCCTTTCTCTCCGCACCACCCCCCTTTTCTCTTCCTACCACCCCACCTACATTTAGCCTAGCTCCGGCCGGTAATAACTTTGTTCCACTAATTAGGTTATCGCTTAGGCGATAGTAGTGTTAAATAACGGTCTTAATTCACCAATATAGCACCGGACCTCTTTTTCTACCGGACAAGCAGGCACCCTAACAGCGACCCAGGGCTCTATTTCCTTAGTCTCCGACAGTCAACTAGCCCTTAAAGATGGCCCTCTATCTACTCCTAAGGAGAAGGCTGTTTATAATGAAGGAGCTGGTGCAGCAGGAGGATCTTCGGGTGTAAGACCTTGGTATAATAGTGTATACAGCGTTCCTTTTAATCAGCAATTAAAAGTAGTCATCTAGGAGCTTTCCGCTTCTAGCTATAGTAAAGAGAGTGAATAGACTATTGCTGCATGTGTATATATCCTTTCTAATTCATATAGCCTTTCCAATTCGTGTATACATCCTTTCCAATTTGCATAAACAAGTAAATCTAATTAGTGGAACAAAGTTATTACCGGCCGGAGCTAGGCTAAATGTAGGGGGGGTGGTAGGAAGAGAAAAGGGGGGTGATGCGGAGAGAAATGGGGGGTGGTAATTAAGCTCGTCCTAAGAAAGTGCCTTTGTTATCCGCCAGCGATTCTAATGCGCTAGCGTTACGGGCCCATTTTGGCTCCCTCTGAACACTAGCGCTCACCTTGCTGACGATTCCGATGCATCATGCTCAATGTTCAGCCTCATCTGAATTTTCACTAAGTCACGTGTTCCGCACAGAGCCTATTATCCGGCAGGGCTTATGCGTAATGCACCTGTACAAAAGGTATTTAAGAGCAGTACGTGTCATAAGTACAAAGAATAAGGGCTGGTATAGATGCGTACCCAGCAGCGCATATATATATACTGGTGCGAAGTGTTGGCCTTTAGGAACAGTACGTTTGATTAAAGATGTCAGGGACCACGTGAGATAGGTACACGTGATCCAAGTTCTGAACCAGGTTCCTCCGAGTCCGTGAAATCCCTCTTTCTCCTTCTACTACGTCTTGTATCTGGTCTCGACCCCTACGGGCTAATACTATTGTTACTGTTCCTCCGAGTACCACTGCTGAATTGATTTCGCATGTGAACCCTGACACGGCTAGACGGCTTGTCAATGAGCCGAAATGGGACACTCGTCGCCTTGGCAAGTCTTGGCGTATGTGGCCCAGATCTGGGACACCCAGAAAACTCAAAAAGGAACGAAGAGCCAGTAGTATTTGTCTCTAACTTAGCCCGGATTTTGCGAATTTGTACCAATCCCCATGGCACCAGCTCTGACTTACGGCGGAGACGAGAAGGAGCAGTGTTATGCAGCGGTACTTGTGCCACACAGGGTAAGTGGTATCTTAAGCATCCTTGTCGCCCAGAAGGATGGACAACGCAATTGCATACAGAACTCGCGAGCTGTGTTGGGAAATAGAGCTCACGCACCGCCGCGTCGAATAGTCGCACATGGTGTAGCGGCTCCCGGAGTCCACAGGTTGAGCTAGCGTTGCATGATGACGAGCGATGGCTTATAGCAGCATATATTATCAACAACGCAGGCAGCTTGGTGTCGCGCTCGTGGGGATAGTTGCTAAGAGCTGGGTTGAAACTAAGACGAACGCAAAGAATCGCAGCGTGCGTGCCGACATTCGCTCGGCAGATGACCTGCTGATGGCCAGGCCAGGATGCTGGGGTCGTGATCGGAGAGAATAGCAATTGATCGAAGCTACGCGGGCTTAGAGCAACACTAGTAGTTAGACTCACCCCTACTCCTAAATTAGCTAGCAAGGTTGGCGCGCCAAGCCTCACCCAGCTCCCGCCATCAACCCTATCGCACGATCAACAATCTCCCGCGATCACCTAGCTCCCACTGCGGTAACCATTCACTGCAACGAACTAGCCGCCTGCTGGAGATATGTAATCATCAACGCGTGGGTCCTTACAATTCGCATGCCCTCAGGATCTCCAATTTCCGCCCAAGACAGAAGTTCTGCAGACACCGATATTCGGCATCCAGATCGCGTTGCTGCTTCGCAAGGCTCTCGAAGGTGCTCTGGAGCTGGGTATCTTCTTCGCTCTTCTTCATGCAACACTTATGCGCAGCCTTGCGGTTGGCCTCGCGCTGGTCGTCGCGGGATTGCGACATTTTGGAGCGCTTGGCTTTGCCTTGGCCGGTCGGGGTGGTTGAGGGCGGGCACACATCGCTGTCTTGCGGGGGCCGAGGGCGGAGCCTAACCCCTGGGCTTCTCTAAACTGCGGTCGGGAGGGGATGGGAATCCTGAAATCGCCACGGCCGTGCGCCATGTCACTCTGGGGATGTCCATATGAGAAAGGGTCTCAGGATCTTCGCCGAGGCTGCGACTAAGGCGGTATGACTGATGGGGATACTTGCGAGAATGGGGTGATCGTGTAAGTTAAACGCCGGAGGATTGGTGCGAGCAGAACCGTCCGCCCCGTCTGGAGCTCCCAACTAGTGATCGCTTCTGTTGGAGGCACCGATCGACGTGGCGGCTTCGCATGAATTTGCATGATAGCAGCCACAAGGCTGATGACGACTTCCGAGTATAGTAGTGAGGTTCTGAGGCTCGGATGGGGCCCTTTTATGAGTACCAGGAGTGATAAGAGCTCGATAGTGGTGCTGTGGCGAAGGAATTGTGTTACGCCATGGAAGGAGGCTCTCCACAAATCAGGCGCGATGGCGATGATGCGATCGTAATTTTTTGGTGGGAGCTGTTCTATGTGCTTAGAAGTGGCCACAGTACTGTACACGACTTATATAGAACTGTGGGAAATATCAATGTCTCCACAGAGTCTGAATTGCTTGAAGTCAATGTACCTATTGATTTTTTCGCCACGCCGGGTTTCTCGCCACCCAGGGATGGACCGTAGCTGTATTGTATTTTACGCTATGCCTAAATGCGGCCCTCTTGTAGAGACATCTATGAATAGTCACGTGCTGGCTATTTTTGGCGCGCGTGAGTTGCCAGCTGTGTGCCCCATTCGTGCCTCCATAAGATGCTAGAGGAGCGCCTTGAGCTGCCTAAATTCAAACGGAAAAACAGCACGTGATCCAAGTGAATAAACTCCTGCCAACAATACAAGCTAGTTAGAATCTAGGTGACTAGCGAAATCTAATATCCTCCTCCTAACAAAGCATCAGCCTTTACTTTCTAATCGGCACGCTCTCAACGTCGCAGAATAGGTAAGAAAGTAAGGATGTTTGACACCTAAAACCCGCTTACTCAGCTGTACACACTCGTCTATTAACTTGAGAGCCTCGGGCTGCTTTCCGATAGCTTTCCACATGGAGGATAGATTGTTCATGCTGCTCAGCGTGTCTGGATGCTCCGGCCCAAGCACCCTCTTGCTCATCTCCATCACTTGCACTTCCAGCTCTTCGGCCTCGTCCCACCGGCCTTTGTTCCTGTACGTCGACGCCAGGTTGGCCATGTTGGCCAGCGTGTCTGGATGCTCCTGCCCAAGCACCTTCTTGCAAGTCTCCATCACTTGCACGAACGCCCTCTCCGCCTCATTCCAACGCCCCTCCTGGTATAGACACATCCCCATTTTCCATAGCAAACTAGTTCTAGCCTTGTTATCTTCACCGGCGATATCGCCTTCCAACGCGTAGCTAGCGTGTGCTAGATACTTTCTCCACACCGTCCTGTTATAGTGTTCGTAGTCCGGGAACACTTCCCCGAGTCGCAAAATAGCTCGCTCCGTCGACTGCGCGAGCAATTCTTCCTTTCGTAGCCAATTCCGCGTTGCTAAATGCACCAGCCGATGGAGATCGAGGCACTTATCGACCGGTCGCTTAATAACAAACGAATACGCAGTAAGTGTTCCGATTGCATCTACTTCCTTCTTCCGCGACGCCCCTGGCGGAAGAAGAGACTGCGGAATGTCCTTTGGCTCTATACAGGCCATGAACGACAAGTAATTGGCCGCCAGCCGATCGCGCTGCTGGATTTGATCAAACGAAATCAGCCATGTTGTGGCTACCGGATTCTTAATGTCACGATACCTCCCGTCGGCTTCAAACTCCTCGCTGAGAAGATCAATCACCTCCTCTTCTTGTTCGGCCAGAAGCGAAAGATAGTCTGCGAGTGATATCGCATTCTCGTTAATGTACGCCGCTGCCTGTATAATGGCTAACGGAAGGTAGGTGAGCTGCAAAAGTAGTGCACTTGTCTCTTGCCAACTTTTAGCGAGATCCGCATTGACTAGGCACTTCCCTAGCAGTTGGGCAGCCGCGTCTTCTCCCATCTCCGGAACGTCCACCACGTTCTTTTGCGCGAGCTTGACTGCTATCTTCCTATCGCGCGTCGTGAATACAATGGCTCCTTGCTTGCTCTTCGGGAGGTAGTCGATCAAAGGGTGCGCTCCCTGCCCAGACTGTAGCCCAGGTTCAGCCTTAGCAATCCACATGTCGATGGTGTCGGCCTTGTCGAACACTAACAGCCACTGTCCTGTGCTTTCTTTACTAAGATGTGCTTGCACCAGTCTCTTCACGTCCGCCTTGTCGTCTTTACACCCAGGTATACCAAGCTGCCGGGCAACGTCTAGGTTAGATTGGTGCAGGCTTTCCATGTTGACTGCAGAAATCCAGATAATCGAGCAGTGGTTTGGCTTGTCAGCGACGCGGTACAGCAGTTCGATGACCAGCTGGGTTTTTCCCACGCCTCCGAGACCAGTAATCGCAAGCTTCGCGGTACGATGCTTGCTGAACAGCATCTCTTCGAGCCGAGCCAGCTCAGGCTCGCGGCCAGTGAAGTAAGAGTTCCGCTCAAACGGCACGATCTATGTCGGATTCACTAAGGGTGTTTTTGGCTGTTTGGCGGAGGATAACGATGGATGATTGCGAAAGAGCTCACTGAGCTGGTGGTTTCCTGAATACCTCTCGAGCTCCCTCAGGAGCCGCCTAGATGCATGATGCTCGCCCTCGCCGTAGATAGCTTCCATATGAATATCAAAAATTCCTAGCAGAGAGTAAACCTTGTCTTCGGGGCGCTTAGTTATTCTGTTTGCCGCCCATGACATACGCTCATCGATCGTAAAGCGAGATAGCGGCTCCCCTCGAAGCGCATGAACAGAAATGCCCGCAACCTGGTGAATCTGCTTTTCTAGCGACTTTCTGTCTCTAAGCCGCTCACGCTTTCGTGAGAAAAATTCGACGCATTGAGGAGCAATAAGCTCTTGTAGCGTCCAGCCTCGAGTGAACCACCGACTTTTCCGCAGCAGGGAGTCTCTGTCGTCCTCGCCTCCAGGAATCGAGACATCTGCGAGGAAAACATAGCATTTGATGGCATTCTGGTACCACCGAAACATAGAGTTGATACTTTCGGTAAGCTCGGCGGCATTTGTCTTGTCAATACAACAGGTGTCTATCCAGCAGTAGCCCAGCCCGTCATTCTTGGCTTGGACTGCGCAGAAACGGAGCTTATCATAGCCGGCCTTGCCACTTCCAGTGCCATCTATGATGTCTTTGTACGTGACTTCATCGCCGTCAGGGCCCCAGGTGTGCGAGAGTATGGCGTAGGGAGGAATCTCATCTTCAGTAAATTCGGCCAGGCTGAAGCTAGGGTAATGGCCGAGTTGTAAAAGGCGCATTGTTGCACCGGATCCAGAAGCCGTAGGCCCCACAAGTACGATAATTTGAGCCACGAATCCAGTGGCGATGGAACTAAAAAGGAATAACAGAAATATTGATGGCAGAGATGGCTTTACAGGCACTCGAGGTTGCGACGTCTGGGGGGCATGTTGGGCTGAAGGCTGGCATCGGGGACAGGGTGGCACAGCCACATCCAGTTCGAAGGATACGTGGCCGGCTGAGGCTGCGGGGTTAGAGTAAGCTTGGCTTGCTGGATGATATAAGTAAATTACACCGTAATGATTACGTAGGACGTGCGGGATCGTTTTGTCTTAGCCGTAATTGGTAATTGCTTTAGCCAGAAGTACCGACCAGGGTGGCGATCTTGCATGAAATTGCGTGCGATAGCAGCCACAAGGCTGATAACAACTTCCTAATACAGTAGTGAGGCTCTGAGGCTCGGATAAGACCATTTCATGAGCATCAGGAGTAATAAGAGCTCAACAATGGTGCTGTGATAAAGGAATTCTGTTACGCCATGGAAGGAGGCTCTCCGCAAACCAGGCGTGATGGCGACGATGCGACCGTAAATTTTTTTGTGGGGGCTGTCCTGAGTGTTTAGAAGTGGCCATAGTACACGACTTATATAAAAATGTGGGAAATATCAACGTGTGCACTGAGTCTGAGTTGTTTGAAATTAATGTACCTATTGATTTTCTCGCCACGCGGGGTTTCTCGCCACCCAGGGACGGACCTTAAGTCGGGTTCTAGAATTTTCAATGAAGAAAAGTACTCCGACGTTGTTCTTTTTGTGTATGGTGTTAAGCTTCATGCTCATAAATTCGTCCTCTGCCTACAAAGCCCAACTTTGAGAATGCCTTTAAGGAAGAATTCATTGAGGGCAATACCAACGTCATTGAATTTGATCAATATAGCGGGAGTGCTTATTGGAGAGTGTTTGAATACCTCTACACTGGTGCCTACTCAGATGGCTTCACCGTTGTCAACTTAGAAGGTTAGTATATAGGCTTCAACGATCTTCAAAGATGATAACATTATTAGAGGACCCAGCATTGCTAAAGGACCTTCGAGTCTATACGCTGGCAGACATGTTCTTTTCAGAAGGTCTTAAGAAACTTGCCTTAAAGAGGTTCCAGCAGGAAGTCGAAGAGCATTGGAGGAGCGATGAATCTCCGGAATGCATCCGAGAAGTCTACAGTTCTACGCATGAGCGTGCCGCGGCAGTTCGAGCTGCTGTAGTAGAAGTTGCAGCTCGGAATGTGCAGGAACTAGGCAGAAAGGAAATTTTCCAGGACCTCATCCGCAAAGGGGGCGACTTTGCAGTTGACTACGTGGAACGTCTAGGACGTCGTAGTAATGACATTTGGTTCGGACGTTAAAGCCCCGTCCCGCACTCATCCGCAGTCACCACTTAGACATCCTACATTATCATATCTTGAAGAAATTTGACATGCTTCAGATGTCCGTGACGCAGCAGGGGCGCAGAGTTGGAGTGCTTCTCCATGCTAGGAAAAGACTACCAAGAACATAAGCAAGATTGCCCTATTTTTCTTGCTGTGACCCAGGAACCTGTGGAGAAATGGCTGAAAATAAATGTAACGTTGATCGTAAGGTCATAGACTCGCGAGGGAGGACTTAATATGTTAATTAGCGGAAGCAGTTTCGGCACGGCGAGTTTTTCGCCACGCAGGGAGGGAGGTCTTTGGTCGATGTGAGAAGAAAGACTAAACTGGGTGCGAGTTATGTACAGATCGAAGACCCTTTAAAGGCAGCCAGAAGTAGACCACAGACATGCGCCCGAAATGGGACACTCATCGCCTTGGCAAGTCTTGGCATATGTGGCCTATATCTGGTACAGCCTTAAACAGAACATGGAGCCACTATCTATCTCCAAGCCTAAGTCAGCGTGCTACAGAAAAGTCGGTGGTTTACCCAAGTCTGGACGCTACAGAGGAGGATCTAGCGGTGTACAATCAACTATACTGCGAGCCGATTAATAAACACGAGGTCAAGGCCGCAGTGTTCAGGGCTAGCCCAGACAAGGCGCCTGGCAGAGATGGTATGCCAGCACGTGTATGGAGGGAACTATGGCCTGTGCTAGGTGACGGAGTACGTATTCTTAGCCAGCTAGCCTACGGAGTATGGTACGGCTAGCTCAGCTACCTTGATATAGAACACGGTTCCTATACTTAGCCCACACAGTTCTACGGTACGGCTACGTAAGCCTCCACGCACACAGAGTATATATACGGCGTACGTAGCCTAGATAGATGCTCATCCAATACATCACTTACCTCGTTCAATGCATTGTTTCACCTCCATCCTCACTAGGGGATAAGATCACGCTGCTCTTTGCCCGGTCTCTCGAGACGGGGAAGGCGCCAAAGGAATGGGAAATCGCAAAGATCGTGCCGCTGCAGAAGCTGAAGCGGAAAGACTACATGGTGGCCAACAACTACAGGCCGATCTCACTCCTACCAACGCTTGAGAAGGCGCTTGAGTCCCTGGTGGCTGAGAGGATCGCATACCTAGTAGAGGAGTTCACTCTCCTGCCCAAGACGCACTTCGGAGCCTGGAAGCAGAGATTGACAACGCACGCGCTGTCGTACCTCTGCGAGGCTGTGTTCAAGGCATGGAGAGGAAAGAAGACCTTGTCACTGGTGTTGTTTGATGTTAAAGGGGGCATACAACGTGGCCACGGAGCCAGAAATCAGAAGGCTGCGGCAGCGACAGATCCCCGAGACGATCGTGCGGTGGGTACAAGATTTCTGCACCAACCGCGAGGCCTGCATCCTTGTCAACGGCTTCACGATAGACGTACAGACGCTCCCGCAAGCAGGACTGCCGCAGGGGTCAGCACTAGCTCCAATCCTCTTCCTGTTCTTTAATGCGGATCTCGTGTAGAACGCAATAAGACATGGCAGCTCAATGGCCTTTGTCGACGACTACTCGGCGTGGGTTATGGGGCCGTTAGCGGAGGAGAATACTCGAGTCATACAGGACGAAGTAGTGCCGATGCTGGAGAAGTGGGAACGTACAAGCGGAGCATAGTTCGAGGCGGCCAAGACATCCTTCATCCATCTCACACGATACAATGCCGCAGGTTGAGACAGCAGAACGCCGCTCCGATTTAAGGGGAATGAGGTCGCGCCCACAGACAAGGTCAAGCTTCCCGGGGTGACGCTCGACAAGGAGGTGCGGTTCAAGACGCATCTAGCAGATAAAGCAGGCAAGGCCACTAAGGTGGCGCTGGCACTGCGCAGAATGAAGGGACTGCAACCTAAGGCGGTCAGGCAGCTAGTGCAGAGTGCAGTGCTGCCGGTGGCGGACTACGCATTACCGGTGTGGTACCCAATTGCGACACACGACATGAAGCAGCTGCTCCAGCAGGCGCAGCGGATCACGGCGCAGGCTGTAATTAGGGGATTCCGCACCGTTGCGCTATCAGTGGCAGAGGTAGAGGCAGGTCTGCTCCCGATGGAGCAGACGCTGCGGGAGCAAGTCATCGCGTTCTGGGTGTCAATCCACAAGCTGGGTCAGTCGCATCCTCACTATAGAATCAAACGGCAACGGCTGTGCATGAAGCACCGGTCGCCGCTCATGAGAATCGCGGAGATGTGTGAAGACGTCTAAGTCGATGCAGTGCTAGAGGTCAAAGCATAACACGCGCCAAGGCCTGCAAACAAGCCTGCTTTATCCCCAAGATTGGCTGGAGGATCAGCTTCTCGAACTGGTCTTTCAGAGCTCTGTCTGATATAGCCGAGTCCTCGTCGAGCGCCTTTCTTATGCCGGGTAGCATGCCTGGCTCATAGGCCACCAAGTCGTTAGCGATGGTGGTGAAGAATCGTACGGCGGTGCCGCGCTCGCCTTCGCCTCCCTTGAAGAAGAAGCTTGCTCCTAGCTGGCCGTGGCTGGCAAATGACTGGGCAATTGTCCGCGCAATTGTAGACTTTCCCGTGCCAGCCATGCCGCTCAGCGAGAATAGAGGGTTTCCCTCCTTGTTGTTTGCCCAATTTGTGATGTCGTGCAGCAACGCGGTACGGGTGTTCGCTAGGCATCATGCGTTGTGTTCTTCGGTATGGAAGTTGTAGGATGCACCTTTGGCGGTAGGTAGTTTGTTCAAGTCTAGCTTTCGATGAAGAGTGTAAGCATCTTGAGTGGCCAGGCCTAGCTTCTGGTTAAAGTCAGGCATTAGATCCCTAGGGTTGGTCAGCTACTTTTGCGTGCGCCGAAAGAAAGGGAATCAGGAACTTGCATCTGGTCAGCCTAGAGGGCTAGCGCGAAGGTGTGCTTGTAACCTTCTATGCTAGAAATAATCTTTTCAACCTGCTTGCTGGTGAACAGCCACTTTAGAGCTCGCTCTCCAAACGGGCTCATAACCTTACGAGTCTTCCCCGGCTCCAGCTCCCCCTTCAGGTGTTCTAGCTCCCGCAAGCTTTGCTTAAGCGACTTAAATAAGTCATGAGTGGTTGAGAGTCGTACTTCGTGTCATCCGTCTAGTAGCTTCTTAATGTTTTCTAGAGCGCGCTTGATGTTGCCAACTTTCTTCTGGAGGCGTTCGATGTCATTCTTCGCGTCCTTGACGGCAACGGAGTACTGGAAGCAGAGCGAGGCGATTTTGGTAGATATATCGATTACGGCGATGACGCTTGCCTGAAAGGCCGTCCATAATGCGATGCCTGGAACAGGGGAGAGATATGCTGGTAGATCGGAAATCGCACTGTTGTAGGTTGACGAAGCAGTGAACCCGCTCTCAAGCTGTAAGAAGTGCTGCGATCTATCATCAGCCGCACAAGGCTGAGAAGGCAGGCCCTGCAGCAGCATCACGGACGCGGGGGTCCAAAAGGTCTCGGGAGTAGCCGAGACCCGCTTTTCTCTTAACTTAAAGGGATTAGACTGGACTGGAGCGGGCCTCCGGAATCTGTACGAGATGCGTACCATTCCAAAGTTCGCGCCACGGGGATTGGTACGAATTCGGCAGAATCATAACTAAGTTAGTACGAGATGCGTACTATTACAAAGCCATGGGGATTGGTACGATATCCATGTTGAGCAAGTGATTGTGTCTGCTTTTTTCATTGTCTGGCTATGGATGGGCGGGGTGCCTCATATATGTATCCATTCTCACCCCTTGTCACATCGTTTCAGCCACCATTAACCGTGACATTCAACACTCCCACTCGATGGCTATCTTCACTAGGAAGAGTGCTAGCGACAATTTGTCACGGCTCTGACAGACCCCGTTAAAACCTTCAAAAAACCTTGAAGGCAAAAAGAGAAGGAAAGGGTGCCTGTGTTCTGCCTCCGCTCGAAGCTGATAGTTCGTGCGGATCACTCGATACCTAGCCCTCTCCGAAACCATTCAAATCTGTCTCGTGCAAGAGGCTTGGTAAATCCATCGGCGATTTGTGCTGTAGTTGGAACATACTTCAGTTCAACTGTTCCAGCGTCTTGAACCTCTCCTTGCCACTTGCGCTGGATTTCCATATGCTTCGTGCGTGAGTGGTACTGTGGGTTCGAGGATAGAGCGATGGCTCCCTGGTTGTCGCCACATATGATCGTTGCGGCTTTTCCTTGGCCCATGTTCAGCTCATTGAGGAGTCTTCTTAACCAAATCGCCTCCTTGGTCGCTTGTGTCTGTCCTATGAATTCTGCTTCACAGGTTGATAGAGCGACGACGCTCTGGCGCTTGGACTGCCAGCTGATTGCTCCGCTCCCGATGTTGAACAGGTATCCAGCTGTTGATCGTCTTGTATCGCGACATCCAGCCCAGTCTGCGTCTGTGAAACCCTTCAACATCTGGAGGTGACCTTTGTATGTGAGTCTGAGATCCCTTGTGCCTTTGAGGTACCGCAGGATGCGTCGAGCAAGCTTCATATGTTGTGGCCCAGGATTTGCTAGATGCCGGCTCACCATGGAAACTGCATATGCGATGTCTCCTCTAGTTCCAAGCATGATGTACATCAGAGATCCTACGATGCGTTGGTATTCCGCTTTTCGATCTGGAGGGCAGTTGTATTCTGGGATGTTCTCTGATAGTGGTGAGGTTTCTATCGGCGTGCTGATGGGAGCGCAGTCGTCGATTCCGAACTGATGAACAACCTTGTTGATGTAAGCTTCTTGACTTAGGTATAGTATCCTGTTCTGACGGTCTCGCTGGATAGACATCCCGAGGTAGTAGCTACACGGTCCAAGGTCCGTCATTTGGAAACGGTTTCTCAGGCCTCTCTTAATCCTCTTGATTTCTGCGATGCTTGGTCCAACGATCAGAAGGTCGTTAACGTACACCGCGATGTACATGTTGCTTCGTACAAAGATTCCAAGGTCGGCGTTGATTGGTTCAAAGCCGAGACCACGTAAGAAGTTTGTAAGGGTCTGATACCAGATGCGAGGAGCTTGCTTCAGGCCGTAGAGTGCTTTCCGGAGTTTGCAGACCCTTGGTGTGCCGTCCGCCATATGGTGTGGCTGTTCGACGTAGATCTCGTGGTCTATATCACCGTATAGGAAGGCCGTCTTGACGTCCATTTGTTCGATCTCAAGGCCCAGGGCGGCCGCGATTGCGAATAGAGCCTTGTAGCTCATTGGCTTGACAACAGAGGCGAACGTTTCGTCGTAGTCGACGCCCTCTTCTTGAGTGAAGCCCCTAACCACCCATCTGCTCTTGTGGCGGATGACTTCTCCATGCGGTCCTCGCTTGAGCTTGAAGACCCATTTGCCGCTGAGAACCCGTCGATCTCTGGGAGGGTTAACAAGCTCCCATGTTTTGTTCTGTTTGAGCGAGTTGGCTTCTTCGAGCATTGCCCTCTCCCATTCGGGCCAGCTCGTGTCGTTCTTCGCTTGGTGAACAGTTTTTGGTTCAAAGGGTTCCGTTTCTTCCGCAGCTACTGTTAAGAATGTTGGGAGTATATTGCCTTCAGGTACATTCATCAGCGCGAGTTCTTCTGCGCTATCATCGGATATATCTGATGCGGCCTGCGGGATGCGGATTCTAAGTTCAGGGTGATATTCTAAGGCTTCTTGCCTCACTCCATGAACTGGGCGATCAAGCTGGAGTCTTGGATATCGTTGCCGTTCTCCTGAGGCTTGGTCGTGTGGAGCGTCGTCCCGTTGCTGGCCGCTATTAGGCAGTGGATTGTCTCTTTCTGGAGTATCTAAAAATGACCCGAAAGTATCGTCACTCCTAAGAGACGACAAGGTCCTGTCTCCCTGCTCAGCAACTGACTGCGAGTTATCATCACTCGATTGGGACGGCGCTCCCTCTTCTGAGTTATCGTCACTCAGTCGAGATAGCGTTTGCGAGTCTTCGTCACTCGTCCGAGGTAATATTTGCGGGTCCTCAGTGCCCGCCCGAGGTAGTATTTGCGAGTCCTCGGTGCCCGCACGAGGTAATATTTGCAAGTCCTCGTCGCTTGTTTCAGAAAAGGCTCGCTCTGGTGCTGCTGCGGATGCGTGACGTCCAGAGGCTGGCACAGATGCTTGCCGTATACTTACTAACGGTTGGTTTAGTGGCCCCACCGTCTCACTCCCCCCTGCGGCAGCAGCCGTTGCCTCAGGTGAGCCATATCGTTTGGCTCCCACATCTTGTATAATCTGTGTGGAGGGAGTTATAAGGGCTTCTCGGAATTCGGCATTTGGAGTCCCAACAATCCTTCCATCTTCTAGTAGGATGCGGTAGTTGGTGTTTCCCTCGTAGCCTAGTAAGATGCATGGCCTTGTTCGCGGTTCAGTCAGCTTCTTCCTTTGCTTTGGTGGGATTAGGTATTCCCCCCTTGACCCAATCACTCTCAGTCGTGATAAATCAGGCTTCTCGCCGTACCATGCCTGATACGGTGTTATCTGAAGCTTTAACGAGGGCGATCGGTTGGAAAGGTATGCTGCTGTTCGAGCTATCTCTGGCCAGAACTTCGATGGCAGCTTTGCGTGTGCCAGTGTAGGTCCGACTCGATCATATATTGTCTTATGGGCTCTTTCAGCCACGCCATTCTGCTGGTGCTGGTCTACACCCGTGACCTCAGCTTGAATTGATCGAGAAAAGAGGATAAACTTCATTTCTTCTCCTACTTGCTCAGCAATCCGATTGAGCCGTATTCGTCTACACTTTCGTTCAGGGCGCTCGTTATGGTCGAGAAAGAAGCGTAGCGATTCAATGACAAATCCCTGTCGTCGTGGTATGGGGATGACTTCGATCCAGCCGGTCGAGTCATCAACAATGGTCAGCCAGTGGCGACTGCCATCGAGACCCTCATCAAATGGTCCTGCGACGTCCATGTGGAGGAGTTCCATTGGATATTCTCCCTTACGACCTGAGCGGTTGTGTGGCTTTTCGGTCATTCGCCCCTGAAGGCACGGATTGCATGGTTCTCGCGGCTCTACATCTCGAATGCCATAGGCTTGCTTCTTAAGCCGTCGCAAGTTTGCATCGCTCAGGTGAGCCAGTCAGTTGTGCCAAAGGGTCAACTGTGGGCTAACATAGTAGGCTGGAAAGGAGAGGTTCGTCCATAGGTCGAGTGCGTAAACACCGTGGTATTTGCTTGCGGTGTACAAGCTCTTCTCACTTGACTTATTGCGGATACTCGCGCCCTTGCTTGAGAACTCAACTTTGGCCCCGCGTTCAAGTAACTGGAGCACAGATATGAGGCTTGCGTGCGCGGATGGGACAAAGAGGACATTATCAAGAATAAGCCATCTCCTTCTACCCCGTACATTGCACAGTACATTTATTGTGCCCACTCCTGAGGGAGATGTGGATGCATCAACGCTCCGAAGTGCGGGCCCATGGTACGTGCCCATCTGAATAAACTTCGAGGCGTTGTTGCACACATGCTGGGCACAGCCACTGTCGATGATCCAGGCGTCGCGGATTGGGAGCGTCCTTGTAGTCATCATCGCGAGGGTATGGGTGAGTGCGGCGCAATTGCTTCCAACGCCCTTCCTAAATGCCGCATTGACGTCTTCTCCTGTAGCCTTTATTACCATGAAGGTGGGCTTCTTTGGGTCTTTCGGGCCACCCGCATCGTTATCCTCATCGTCAGTAGAGTGCTGTCTCTTTGACGGTTTGCGACCGTTGGCTTGCGAGCCCCGTGCCCTTGCCTTGTGTCCCTCTTCATCTTTCCCTTGGCCCTTCAGCCTCGGATTTTTCTTGAAGCATTCGGTTTCGATGTGGTAGGGCTTTCGGCAGAAGGAGCAGTAGGGAACGTTGTTAATCTCGATTTGGCATGTGGTTCCATCGGATGACGGAATAAGGTTCTTCTGGCCAGGCCCCCGAATCAGAGTAAGAGCAGGGAGCGCCTGCACGTCACTTGATTGTTTTCCCAGCTGCCCCTTCCTATGTTCTTCCTCAATTGCCTTGCCTTCGACATAGTCGAATGTGGGTGCAGCCTTAATAATATGCCCGTTTGCGTCTCTATCGTTGACGAGGTCCATCTGCCTGAAGATATGATCACGGAAGCCTTCGTATTCAGCGCCCAGCGCGTGCATGAAGAAGAATGTGCGCTCAATCTCCGAAGTAACACAATCAGGGTCGAGGAGAAGTTTCTCAGCGTGAATCCTTCTAATCTCGGCTCCTAGGGCCTGAGTGCTCCCACATTTTTCTCGCGTGAGGGACATGTACCGCCGCTGTAGGTTGACATACGTCCCTGAACCTTCTGGTTTAAAGTTCTCCTTAACTGCCTGTAAAAGAGATTGAACTTGATGGATTTCAAAAGCATTGATCCGTTGCGCGGCATTGTGTGTCAGCTTTGCTGCGATCATCGCCGTGTAGAACTTATGGCGGTGCTGCCATTATTGTGCATCCTCTTCTTCTATAGGTGGAGTTGCTCCGTCTTCGGCAACAGCAGATATTCGGATGAATTCGTTAACCTTCTGGTTCCACCTGAACCAGTCACTAGCGTTGTCCAATGTTGGAATAGCATTGTAGAACGCATTCAGGCCGAATTGCTCAAACTTCGTAATGTCGGTCATGGTGAAATTGGGTGCTCCTCTGCGCTGAAAAACTCTGATTCGTTGCTGAGCGGGCTTGGGGCAACAGAGGTGGCGTAGTCGGATGCGGTGGCGGAGCGTGCCTCTAGGCCAAAAAGCTCGAGGCTTGAAGCTTCACTTAGTTTGCTTGAGATAATAGAAGGGCTGCGATCAGACAAGCCTGGCGTGGGCGAATGGGAAGGGGGCTCGTAGTCTCCGTCTGGTGCCTTGCGTAGCTCAGAGTGTTTTTCGCACGCCCTGGAGAAGTGGGGAAATCGTCGGCGGTCAACCGGGTATTGCGACCTAATTCCCTGGAAACTCGTGGGTCTATTCGGTCGGAGGTTGTAACGCGTGATATTGTTGTTGTTGGTGATACGTTTCTTCCTAGCCTTAGAGGATAGGGCGTCTGGTTCTTGTTCAAACCGGGAGTGCTCAATGGCCCCGGTGCGGGAGGACACGATTAACGCGCGGCGTATACGCTCCTCAAGAGGTAGGCGAAAGAATGCGATCTTGACTGCGCCAACCGATGTTGACGGGAAAAGCGTGCTTTGAATCTGACCCCAAGTCCACTTACGGTCTAGCCGAAGATAAGAGATGTCATTTACTTCCTCTCTTGTCCAGCGGTGGGTTTTGTTTCGCTGTTTCTTTCGTAGTGGTTGCGGTTTGAGGAGGTCAATTCGCGATCTTGTCGTTGGAGTTGACATCTTTCCCGACCTCTTCTTGTATTCTCGGTGTCATTTCATATGCACGACGTAGAGCGCATGTTGTGGGGTCGATTCTGCCCCTTCCGTTTCGGCATGGTTTCAATTCGCCTATCACAGGGGTTATCACTGTGATATCTACCCCTATCACATTTATGGTGTTTGTGATTTCGTCGGATGGAGGGTGATCCGTCTTGTTCCGAGTTCTTATTGGACTGTTTCGCAGATATTAACTTCATCGCTCATAAGATCATCACTTGCTGCGGAAGCTTAGCTGTAGGTATATATCTCTCAAAACCTGAATCGTGCGAGCCGGGCTCATAACCTGTTGAGCAAGTGATTGTGTCTGCTTTTTTCATTGTCTGGCTATGGATGGGCGGGGTGCCTCATATATGTATCCATTCTCACCCCTTGTCACATCGTTTCAGCCACCATTAACCGTGACATTCAACACGTACCATTACAAAGTGGCCCCCATGGGGATTGGTACGATAAGAGTACCGTTCCGAAGGGTGTATCATTACGAAGAATGTAAAATAGGGACCAGTACGGGCTGCGTATCATTGCAAAGTTGGGCGCATGGGGACTGGTACAATATCCTTACCGTTCCAAAGGGCGTACCATTACAAAGAACGCAAAGTAGGGACCAGTACGGGCTGCGTACCATTCCAAAGTTTGTACCATTACGAAAGTGCATATATAAGGGACCAGTACGAATGTTAGACCATTACGAGAAATGCATGATTCGTACCATTACTGAGAGTCTACCAGTACGAAAAGGGAAGAGGAGCCCGTTCTTGAAGCTTGCATCGTACTGGAGTGGATTTAAGGCCCGCTCTAGTCCACTCCAGTCCAATCCCTTCACTGCACGCTTGTAGGAACATTTGAAAGCAAATAGCATAGACAACTTCCCTAAGAGCATAATCGTCCTAAAGACCCGTCTTGCGAGCATGTTTATCTTGAGAACATAACCGTCTCAAGACGGGTCTATCTTAGGAGCGTGACTGTTTGGAGAACGTCTTCGTCTTGAGATACCACCGTCTTAGGAGGTAAGGCCATGCCTGTCTCAAGACCATGGCCGTCTTAAGAACATGCCGTCTTAAGAACATGCCGTCTTAAGAACCTGCCGTCTTAAGAACGTGACTGTCTGCAGGGTAGCCCCGTCTTGAGACTACTTCTGGGTCATGGCCGTGCTCAGAATAGAAGTGGCCTGAAAATGGGCCCCACTCTGGCTGGCTACTAATGTCCATCCCTGCGCGCCGAGAAACCCACCGTGCCGAGAAATATGAGGGGTACTTTGACTTCAAGCAACTCAAAATCTGTGCACACGTTAATATTCACCATAATGCTATATAAGCCCTGTGCTGTAGCTACGTTCAATCATCTCGAACCCCACCCACCTAAAAATTACGTTCGCATCGCCGCCATCGCGCCTGATCTGCGGAGAGCCTCCTTTCATGGCGTAATAGAATTCCTTCGCCACAGCCACTATCAAGCTCTTATCACTCCTGATACTCATAAGAGCGCCTTATCTGAGCCTCAGAGCCTCAGTACCATACTAGGAAGTCGTCATCAGCCTTATGGCTGCTATCGCACGTAAATTCATGTAAAGTCGCTACGCTGATCGGTACCTCCAACTGAAGCGATCACTAATACTGGCTAGTGCAAAACAGCCGCGTACGTCCGATGTCGCAGACCAAGGCATCAGCCGTGGAGGCCTGAGGCAAGAACTGCATTAATAAGCTTGCCATCAAAGCTAACGTAATCCACAAGTTAGTGGCCCGCACAAGCTAGTGGCCCACCCAACTCAACACGCGACGCGTCGTCCAACAACCACCCCAATGGCAGCACCACAACAACAAGAAGCCATCTTTCAAGAAGGCAGAGTTATTCTAGGCGTTCAAGCCTACAAGACCGGCCAAATTACATCCTTCCGAGGCGTTGAGAAACTATACGATGTGCCCAGAAAGACGGTTACGCGTCGCGCCCGTGGTATTCCTCCACAACGCGGTGCTATCTCCAAAAATCGCCGTCTTACACCTGTACAAGAAGAGGTTCTTGTACAGAGGATTCTGTCGATGGACCAGCGTGGCATGCCGCCCCGTATTGCTACTGTACGGCAGATGGCCAGCATTCTAGCTAGCCAACGCGTTGTACAGAATACCCCCCTTACTGTCGGCCAGAACTGGGTGCGAAATTTCATCAGCCGCCATGACAACCTAAAATCCAAATTCAATCGCAAATACGACTATCAGCGTGCTAAATGCGAAGATCCTGTGCTTATCCGGGCCTGGTTTAAACGCGTGCAAGATATTAAGATACAATATGGAATTCTTGATGAAGACACCTGGAATTTTGATGAGACCGGCTGCCAAATGGGTGTTATTGCAACTGCCCGGGTTGTTACTGGAACAGACCGTGCCGGCCGGCCTAGGACTGTACAGCCGGGCAATCGAGAATGGGTTACAATTATCGAATGCATCAATGCAATGGGGGTTGAAATTCCACCCCTAGTTATCTTTGAAGCAATAATGCACCAAGCCGCTTGGTACGAGGTTATTCCAAAGGAATGGTCAATCGGCGTTAGTGAGAATGGCTGGACAACAAATGAAATTGGCCTTGCCTGGCTAAAACTATTCCACAAGTATACAAAAGATCGCACAGTTGGCACGCATCGGATGCTTGTATTGGACGGCCACGATAGCCATATGAACCCCGAATTCGACCAATTCTGCCTGGATCACAATATTATTATTGTCTGCATGCCTGCACATTCATCGCATCTGCTGCAGCCCCTAGATGTTGGCTGTTTCTCCGTGCTAAAGCGGTCCTATGGACGCCTGGTTGAACAGATTATGGGCCACGGTGTCAACCACATCGACAAACACGAATTCCTACCTATATATAGGCAGGCCAGGCAGGAGGCACTACATGCAGGCAATATACGGGCGGGATTTGCAGCTACTGGCCTAGTTCCATACAACCCCGATCGTGTGCTATCATTGCTGCATGCCGGATATCACACGCCGCCACCCCCCTCTCTACGGCCACAATCAAATGGATCCTGGACAGCCGAAACACCCCATAATGTCGCCGAGCTACAAAAGCAGACAGCCCTGCTAAAGCGCTATCGCCAGCGGCGTATGCATAGCCCACAAAGTCCAGCAGAACAGGCCCTTGGCCAAATTATCAAGGCGTGCGAAACAGCAATGTCAAACGCCGTGCTGCTTGCAAGCGAAAATGAGAAGCTGCGCATAGAGAATCAGCGCCAGAAACAAAAGAAGGCAAGGAAGCGCACGTATATAGCTAGAAAGGGTATTCTATCAGGTGAAGAAGCAGCCGATCGTGCACAACCTGTACAGGAAGGGGCAGCAGAGGAGGCAGCAGAGCCACCGGCCGAGCGGCCACAGCGAGCAAAACCTAGGTGCAGCATGTGCGAATCAACAGAACACAATGCACGTACGTGCCCTAGGCGGCAGGCAGCTAGCTAGTATGTAGCTGCATCAAATATATTTGTTCGTGGTGGAGTAATTCGGAATATTTGGCCTCGGTAGCGTGGTTGGGTGGGCCACTAGCTTGTGCGGGCCACTAACTTGTGGATTACGTTATAGAACGTCGGGCGGGGTAACCCGACCGACAGAAGAGACACCACACACACACAATCAATCATACTCTGCTGCTTGATATCATTTCCAATCCCGCTTCATCCCGTGCACACCTAAGTGCGACATCTGACATAATCATTACGGTGTAATTTACTTATGGTAAGTTACATACAGCGAGACGCGCACATGCCGGCATCGCCGGCTTCGAATCCATCAAGCCCCGCGACATCGCGACATCGCGACACCATCACAACCCCGCTTCCGCAACCGCCACTGCCTCATGAAGGCCCATTTCATCAGCTTCTCGATCTCTGCCATCAGCTCCTAGGACGCCGCCGTCCAGAACTGCGAGTCTTCGAGTTCCAGCCTTCAGATCGATCGGAAGGAGCCTCAGGCCTTGTTGATCAACACCCAGACCGCTACCTTCCTCATAAACGACGCGACCTTCCTGACCAGCGACCGTCACTACCTGCAGACCGGTCGCTGAAAGGCGTACTCCCGCGTCAAGGCCTGCACCCACCTCAAGGCCCCGAACCTATGTCCGCGCCCTCAACCTCACAACTCAGCGCTACACCTACTCCAACCTTCACCAGAGCTCGTTACTCTAGGACACCAGCTCGCTGCATTCAGGCGAACCCATCCTGGACAAGCTCGCAGCCAGCAACTCAAAGACGCCTCCGCTGCCTTCTTACCGCTATACCCGGTTCTTGACAGGACTGTTGGCGAGGCGTACCCATCTGAGTGGCTGACAGCGACACACATGCTACATGCCAGACGAAGAGCTTCGTGGAACAGCTCCGAGCCTGACGTGTTCTGATCACTACACCGCCTACTCTAGCTCTGGGTCCGGGCGTCCGTCAACCTCAGGCTCAGAACGTACTGAGACCATCCCTCGCAACTCGCTGCCTAACATGGCCGCCTTCACGCAAGCGATGCGTGGCCTGTTCCGACAGCTCATTGACGAGGTCCGGCAGCCAGGCCCGCAAGGACCTGCCGGCCCTCAAGGACCCCGGTGGTCCGGCTGGCGACCGAGCTGACGGCGCGAACAACGGCACTGGAGGCTTCCGAATCCAGGAGATAGGGTTCTTCCACCCAGAGCTCGAACAGTCGAGCGGCCCTGTCCACGACGACGTCGTCTACGTCGGCAATGACACCTACATCCGTGACGTATACGTCTCCACGGAGCGAATCAAGGATGTCGCCAGACTGCACTTTGAGGATGTCGTCAGGCCCAAGCTTCCGCAGTCCTATGTGGCAGCGCCCTCACATAGTACACTTCCGCACTCACCGACATGGAAAAGGTCGGCCTACGTCACACCGCTCTTGCGGACGGTTGGTGCAAGTCTCTGATCCGGCAGTTTAAAGAGCCGCTCACCTAGTCCTTGAGCAAACTGACCTCCGCGTCTTACTCCCTCAGGGACGCGAAAGATCGACGAAGCGTCTCGGTGTACGCCTACGACGTCCTCAGGAGCGCCAGAGTGTCAAACATCGACCGTGCCAACAGTACCAACGGCCTCGCCTTCGCTTGGAAGGGCATTGATCCTCTTCTGCGGAACGGCCTCTCGGCGCCCACCGACGCCACAGCCGTCCACGAATTCATCCAGTCGCTGGAAGCCAAGCGCGACGACTGGTGCGACTTGGTGGATATATATCTCCGCAATACAAATCATCCGTAATACAAATCATCCGTCAGTAGCCCCCAGAGGTCAGTATACCCCTTTCAGCTCTCGACGGAGTTTCCAGCCGTCTGTCCGTCTGAATTGGAATCAGCAGAACGCTCAGTACGGCGGGTTCTCAAACTAGCAGTACTGTGGCGGTCTCTCAAACCGGTCTGGAAGACGTAATTACCGTTCCGACTCTTACAACCTGCAGCTTAACGCCCCCACAGCGCCGTTGAGACCCGCGCTCCCACCGGCACGCCAGCCGCTGCAAATCACAAGCGGCAACGAACCTCAGCGCCCCTCTCGGCCCCCCGGCGGCTTAGGAAACTACGGGTTCGCTGGCAACAGCCACTTTGGCAAGCAGCCGTTTAGAGCATCCGCGAACAAGCCGGCTCGCAAGATGAACAATACTGGGACGATGTGCAGCCGGAGTGGAAGAGCAGCTCGCACAGCTAGGCTACACAGACGTCGACGACGACCAGCACGACGCTCTGGAAGGCGAACTGGGCGCTGAGGAGGATAATAACCTTGCCAAATCCGGGTTCGTCGACGGGTACGTGGATGTCTGCAACGCCGCGACTTCGCCAGCCGTCCTACAACCAAAGCGAACAACGCCTTGTTTCGACAACTTCGTAACAACTGTCGACCGAGGTCTCGACGCAAGCGATCGATGGCGACGTCGACACCGAACCCTGCGAACTTCGCGAAGGACCAAACCGCCGGTCATCACGCCGCAGGCTTGAAGCTACCGACCGGTCTGAAGAATGACGCTCTCATCACGAGCGACCGACTCGTCACGTCCTCCGTCACGAATCCGAAGATTGGCCGGCATTGCCTTTCGCGGCTACCACTATGTCACCATGAAGGCCTTCTTGACCAAGCTTGGAGAAGTCGCCGACGTCACCCCCGACACCGGTAACACCATGGGGCTAATCTTGGAGGAACTTCCTGAGTCAGCAGGACAACCCGTACGAAGTCCTCAAGATGAATCAGACTGTCATGGTCCGAGGAGTCGGTAACAAGCTCACGCCTTCTACCGAATTCGTGATTGTGACACTCTACATTCCGGGACCTCGCGGAACTGCGGCCGTCCGCTTTGAGGCCCATGTTATCGACTACTTGAAGGCAAACCTGGTCATCGGCACGGACGTCCTGGATCTAGAATGAATGGTGCTGGATCTACGAGAGCGTCTACTATGCATCGGTAGTTGTCGGGACCTCGAAGTACCCATCTCAGTACGCGCTCGCTGCGAAATCTCAAGGGTCTGTCGTGTAGTCAGGGCTAAGACCTCAACAACCGTCGCCGCCTCCTCCGTGACGGCGGTGCCCATCGCGATCCGAGACCGCGAAACACTGCCTGATCGTGACGTAACATTCACACCTGAACTTCCCGCCGACAAGCTGGGAGAAGAGGGAGGAGCCTACGCCCATCTGCTGGACGTCAACGCTTCCTTCATCCAGGTCCGCAACAACACGGAAACCCGTACGTGGTGCCACGGAACGCCAGACTAGGAGTTCTGGAGGAATACGTCGAGGAGGGAGCCTATCTCATCCACCCCGACGAAGAGGCCCTCGCGACGCTCCAAGCGCCTCTCTAGCAGCCCCAGACCAACCAGAGCGCCTACAATACTGACAGCGATCAGATTGAAAGCATGGAGTCGTTCACGAATCCGCCGGCTGACGAGCTGCCTGTCGAGCGAGCCACGCAACAGCTCGTCGCCCAGACTAGTCTGAAGCCGAACACCGAGTTCGAAGGCCCCTTCAGCGTGACTACCTACGGCGCCTCCGCCGCTTTAGAGATCAGCAACGTCATCCAGGACCACGAACCCGTCTTCACCGACGACGACCAACTCGCCAACGTACCAGAAGATCAATGGCTCCAAATTCCCCTGGTTGACGACTTATCCTCAGCCAAGTTGGCTCACCGCGTCTACCTTCTGGGCCCACAACTGGGCCCACAAGAGCGCGCTCTCGTCGACGCTGAGTTCGACAAGCTCGACCAGCTCCACGAACAGGGTCGGATGGAATGGTCAGGACCTACACGTTTCGGCTTTCCAGTCTTCGTCGTCTAGAGGACGGTGTTAATCAACGGCGTGCCCACCCGGAAGAGTCGCGTCGTTGTGGATATCCGAAGATTGAACAGAGCAACGGTCAAGGACAGCTACCCGCTTCCTGGGCAGGAAGATCTGACTAACGCTGTCGCGGGTTGCCCTTTCATCTCTACCGCTGATGCCGCATCCTTCTTCTGCCAATAGCCCATGGCGTGTAACGACCGCGAGAAGTTCACTATAGTCTCTCATCGCGGCCAGGCCAGGAGCACTTCAACGTGGCTGTCATATTTTATCGCGGCTCTCCGCCGTACGTTCAGCGACAGATTGATCGTCTCATCCGCATCTACGGCTTGCAGGCCTTCTGTCGAGCGTACATCGACGATATAGTGATTTTCGGTCGCACACTCCGGGAGCACCTGAGACACCACCTATGCGCTATATTTGCAGCCCTTCAGGACGCCAACATCACGCTCAAGGACTAGAAGTGCTATCTCGGCTACCCATCGCTGACACTACTTGGTCAGAGTTGGAGTTTCCTAGGACCCTGAAGGAACTTGAGCACTACTTGGGCTTGACCGGATGGCTACTTCAGTACGTGGACTATTACGCACAACTGTCAGAAGCTCTACAGCATGAGGAGACGCGATTGCTGAAGTCGGCGCCTGTGGCTGGATAAGCCAGACTCTGACATACACGCAGACTACGACGGGGTGCGAGACGACGCTGACGTCCGGGAATCCTACGAAGCCTTGCAAGGCGCCTTCTCGGTGGAGAGAATTCTGGTGCATTTTGGTCCTCGAGGTCGGTTGTACATAGACGTCGACGCCTCCAAAGCTTACGGCTTTGTGGTCATGGTCTATCACGTTCTGGGAGATCCAGCTCCCGACCGGTTGGAAGACGTGAAGCACGGCAAGGTGCAGTCCATTCTCTTCCTCAGCAAGCTGCTCTCGACCGCCGCGAGGACCTATTGGCCCACTGAGTTGGAGGTCGCGTGCCTGGTTTGGGCCGTCAGACGTGTCCACCACATGGTGTCATCCGAACACGCCGCCACTACAGCGATTACGAGGGCCTCATCTCTTACAACTTCAGCTACCGATAAACTCAACATGCGCCGGCGTCCGCAGCGAGGCACAACGACGGGCATAATGACCGAATGGCTATAGCGCATAGTGAGGTACAACGAAGAGGAGTGCAGCGGCGGACACGGCGACGGACACAGCGGCGGACACAGCGGTGGATACGGTGGGATGGAAGCAGTCGTCGCAAGGCACGACAGGCGCATCAGAGGGCCACAGTGCCAGCTTGAACAGCACTTCATCACGATGGACATCCTGTTAAACATAGACAGACCTGAGCCGTCTCCTCATCAGTTCGCTATCTTTGCGATGCTACAACTGTATGGCGGGAGCGAGTAGGCCATCCTCTCTGGTAGTGGTGGCAAGTTTGGTGTTCAATCGCAAGTCATACATTCAGCACGTTATGCTATCATCAATCTGTTCTGTAAAACCACCTATCGGTGGACTTCATGTAGTCAAGTAGTATCGCATTTGTTATCAACACAACTGACCGCCTATCGTTTTCGCGCGTCGATCTTCAGGATATTTTCGCTTTCTTGATCCGTGCATTCTTTGTCTCTCTGTTCCAGCCCTTCTCTTCATCCCATGGCTCTTGCTTTACAAGCCACCTGAACTTCCCTGCAATTCGGTTCTCTAACTACACGTTACATATCAGCGAAGGCTCATAACAAGGTTCGAAAATGTTTGTACTAACATTCTCACTCCTCTTGAATATAATCCATACGGTAAATGTGAGAATCATAGTGCCAACAGCGAAGGGAAGGTACCACCACCACCCAGGATTGGATTTCAGCAGATCGATGTTCATGCCAAAAAGAGACTACGCTAAATCAGCACATCATCACTGTGGTTGTTGCAAGCAGTCATACCGCAATGAACATGAGAGGGAGGAATACAAACTAAGTCGAACTTGTTAGCTTCCAATCAAGATTAATTCACCTTGATGGCTTACCGTAATCCAACTTAGACGCTTTATGCTTCTATTCATGGTTGTTGACTTTTGTGCCTCCGCGATTGACGTCAAGTTGAATTCCTGTCCACGTTAATGGGCTGCTTCAAACAAGGATAGCTCATACAACCAATTGGATGAGTTCTTGTGAAGTGGCGGTCAAATTATTGAGCCTTTTCCGCAGTTCCTCGGAGAGCTCATTTACGTCCTTTTTCAAGGCCTGAGCCTTTTCCCGATGCTCTTGCTCATAAAGCATCTCCCAATTCTTAACCTCAAAGCTTCCGAAAAGAGCCATAACTTGACCTTCCAGCAGTTCGCTGAGCCGACCCCAAAGCCTAGCATCGTGCAACAAGGCCTCAATAAGGCCGGCTTCCAAACCTCTGGATCTCAACACTTCTATACGCTATATGATAGTTAGCTTAAGCCTAAATGAAGAACACTATACTTACCCTATCATTGAGGTGCTGCTCTGCGGCTTTACAGACACTGTTCCATTCCTCCTTGAGCTGTTGAATTAATGGTATGCAAAGGTCGGTCGCAGTATCTGGCACCGCAGCATGTTCAAGGGTGCTAAAGAAAGTAGTGGACTTGAGCAGACGCCTCCTAGTATCCTGTTCAGTCTTTGAAGACTCTGGCTTGACCATGATCCAAACAATAAAGTGCTCCCTCTTCAGACGTCCCACAGTTGCGGCTAGAGAGCTGGGTATTTCTTGTAGTCCATCTGGCCAAAACACTGGTAATATGAGGCGACATTCGAGGAGGCCTTCTCAGCGTCAGTTAGTACGACCAGTAGTGATAATGCATACTTATATGCATCAGAACAAGGGTTGTGTTACATTCTCCTGGTCGAACGTAATCCAGAGTGGCAGCACTAGGGATAGTGTCTAATTTTGCTGTCCACACCTGAGGCGCATTCATGTTTCCTCGATCCATTACCTTTCGTCTTTCGTTCTTTCCCTCCCTTTTCGCTGTCTTCCGCCACCATCGACAACGGAGGCCCCATGGTGAAGCATTCTGAAGGAGATTGTCATCAGCTATCAAACTAAGCTAAGGTTAGTGATAGCGTAATATGTCGAGGCCGGACTTACAATAGCCGCTTTTCTGTCGTATCCCCAGCCAGTGACATCTCTCTTGCAGGTAGTTCTACAAGAGGGAGTTTTAGAGAATATGACCTGTCGTTCATGTACTTGCTAAAATCTGTTCCACTCCAGATCTTAACATTAGCGGAATATCCTTTTGTCATTTCCACAGTCCCGCCTGTGGTTCGTGAAATAGACCTCCATCTAGAAGCATTGATTGAGCATTTTTCCCCAGACATCTTAGCGAAAAGGCAACGCATAATCTGGAAGTTCCCTAATTCAGAGGCCCGTTGAAACGGCGTTGTGTCGCTAAGGTCCGGATTGTCGGCCTTCGCACCTCTTTCAAGCAGCCATTGCACGATTTTGAGATTCCCTCTCTCAACCGCAAGGTGAAGAGGCGTTTGGCCGTCGATATCTTTTTCCATGACAGCTGAGGCCTGATCATCCATGAGCGAATACAGCCTTTCAGACATCCGCAGATTAGCAGATAATATGGCAAGAAGAAATGGTGTCTGTTGCGAAGAATTCTTCGTGCCAAGAAATTTGCCCGCGCCGTTATTGAGAAGAATGCTCAATATTTCCAGGCTTCCAGATGCCACAGCAGCATGGAGCAAAGATGAGTCGTCTCGTGTTCGTGGGTCGATGAGAGCTGATGCTTTGTTATCTAACAGCATTCGGACCGTGTCTTCATTGCCTCTCATTGCCGCAATCTGGAGTGCGGTCCCGTATTCTCCGCCTTGGGCGTTGACGTCTGCGCCGGCCTTGAGGAG